TATATATATATATATATATATATATATATATATAGTTTTCTATAATCAATTTCTATTCATTCATATCAATTTGTGAAGAAATCGTCACATCAATAAAAAGGTTTCAACAAAAAAAGCCATCCTACTGAAAATGATGTTCATCCACTGATCCATCAGGAACTTTGTTGGGGCTCTTTTTGCATAAATTCCTGCATCAGTGCAGTTTTACATGGAAGGATTTAATCTGTGGCTGTGCTGATGAGGAATGGAGGAGACGGACTGCTTTGATAACAGCCTACAGGTCATCCCAGAGTCTCACATCTTTTCCTTGATATTAGATCATAGTCTCTCTAAGGGGAATAGATTTGGTCCAGCTGAGGTCAAAAACATTGATACCATGCTCTTTTAAGGACGAATTAGTCCTTGATATGGTAGTATGGAAAATGAAATCTGCATCTTTAAAGAGCTTCTCTTCAGAGGTTGATGGCTGCTTTGACTTGTTAAACACAAAGCCAGGAGATATAATGGCTCTCCAAGCCTTCACTGGCTGTGAAAACATCACAATAGAGCTTAAACTGTTTCTAACTGTCCCTTTTCTGCTTTTCTATGAGACTCTGGGGCTCCATGTTAGATACACAGAAAGTTTTGACCAACTCCTGCTGGATAAGCTTCATGGACACTCAGCCTCACATTACTTGGCTTAATCTGAAGGATATAAATGGCATAACACCTGTCAGCATTCTTCCAATTATTATTTTTACCACAACATAGCTTTACTCCACTGAAAAGCTCTTTAATTGGCCATTTGTATCATGTGTATCATTCAGATATTAGAAGAAACAGAATTTAGTGTTTTTATAGGCTCAAAGGGCTTTTGTGAAAATCAACTAAATAAACCCTATAAATATATCACTGTTGTAAATGTAGAGCTTCAATTTCTGAATTGAACAATTGAAATACATCAATCATTTCAGTTTTCTCAGATATCCATGTATATGGGCTCAAAATTGTATTTTTTTTTTTTTAGTTCTTGTAAAAAAAAAATGTTAAAGTAGCACCAGGAGTTAAAACCGACATAGCACATGTAGTTTATGGTCTCCTACTGGGTTTTAACAAATAATAGTCACAGGGAAAAATCAGCCTACATGTGTTGGTATTAAATTTGCCATTTAACAGGAAAGGTGACAGAGTTTGAACAATCCAAAAATGTGGTGTATGTGTTTTCTGCTCCTGTCTCATTTATTTAGCTATAGAAATCAACCTGTCCTGGAAATCAGCATTTCTTTTTGCTATAAAATGCATATTTCCTGTTTTAACAAGGTCGATGTAATGTATACTGTCCTTTTATAAAATATAAGTAGGGATCCCTCTGAATGTTAAATCTATTTTAGGTCTGCATTGCAATTTTTCTTTTGTTTTTTTGTGATATTCTTTAAAGTTTTGTGATTTTTCAGCTCTTAAATACTTCTTTTGTTTCTCTTCTTTACATCTGCAGGTCTCCCAACAGCACAGACAGTCAACAAAACGTAGAACAAAGTCTTCCCACTGTGGAAGTGACTCCACCTGACAGCAAACATGAAGACAACGGGGTGTCGGATGAAGGTCAGTAACTTTTCAGGCAGTGCCAAACGTTTTCCTTTAATTGTTTAATGACCTAATCTCAGAGGGAGATGAAGGATCTATTAATCATTGTCAGTAAGTATGGGGATAGGAAGCAACATTGTTATAATTTGCATCATTTTAGCTTAATTAAATTGATAAATCATTTCTTTAATTGTGAAAACTGAGAAGTTTTGTTGCTTCTCTCCATTATGACGGCATGTTAACTGAAAAAGCGATCAAGAGAGTAATGGCATGAAAACATCCTGATCCATAATGTCATCTAAGCAGAAAAAGCTAAATCTGCTGGATTCACTGGTACATGCGTGAAGCATAAGAGATGTCAACCAGCTCATCATCTGTCATCCAAAATGTATTTAGTGGTGTTGTCTTTTGAAGCAGGCAGTATTGTATGCATACAGTATTTTGTTTACTTTATAAGAACATGCTGCCAACTAGTGGCAAGGCAGCAAAATTACATCTAAATCACAACATTTCCCAATTAAATGTTGTGGCCCTGAAGTGTCAGCAGAAATGGTAAACCCAAAGAAATGTTCATGTTCACAAGCCTCAATAAATCAGACCTTTTCATTTTATCTGTAGAACCAACATATAGCTCAGAGTGTTTTGTTTTTTACCTGTTATTGTGCTTCGCTAATTATAATAAAGGTTGATCGAAAAGCTGATTGGATGTTTGTTAGAATATCGTTATAACAAATCGTTTTCTCCAGAAGAATTATAATTGTAAAATGTAGTTTTTAACGACCAGTGAATGCTTTTCTACCTTTTTCAGCAAAAGTAATCTTATAATCTATTTACTCAATGCTCAGAGGACAGTGAGAGCTTTGCTCAGCTTCTCCGGACGAAGAGCGATGCTGGGGTTTTAAGACGCGGCCAGCGGCGGTCTCCAAGCGACCAGAGGAAAATTAGACGCCATCGATTCTCCATCAATGGACACTTTTACAACCATAAGGTGTGAATCTCCAATTATTCAGAAATAGAAAATAATACATACAATATTAATGTTTTTGTTCTTTTTTTTTTAGACAGCAGTGTTTACGCCTGCTTATGGCTCAGTCACTAACGTCAGGATAAACAGCTGTATGACCACGCCCCAGGTGCTCCGAGTTCTCCTCAACAAGTTTAAAATTGAAAACAGCCCCGAGGATTTTGCACTCTATCTTGTCCACGCAAGTGGAGGTCAGTGAGGGTTGTTTGGTTTTATCTTTTTTCTACATGGAAATGATTTGGTGCTCGTAGAGCCATCTTATATCATCTTTCTCTGAGCATTCAGCTTCTGTTTGAGATTATATCACAGAAAGTCATATTACAGGCTGTTTAAATTAGTCTGCTCTTACAAACTTTTGTCTGCATTTTGTCTCTGGGTTTATGACAGGCCGTTTTTACATTTATTAAAAGCACTCCTCACTGTTGTTCAATTTGTAGATCAATAAAATAAGATTCTTCCTTATCAAAATCACACTCCTTGACTGAACTATAATATATTTTCTAAATTACATTTTTGTAGCAGAAACTGAATTTTAGAAAATAAAAATAAAAAATATATACTAGTAAGAATTAGGTTTTATACATCTAGAAATATATACACAATTTTAGTGGCCATTCTTACATTTTTCAGCTTGACTGAAAATTTATTTGTGATATCTGAAAAAAAAAATTCATAGTTAAAATAATACAAATGCTGACCAGTAATATTAGGAATATGGAGATCTGAAATGTATTTCTAGTCATCCAGAATGTTTATTCTAGATGTGGAGAACGTCTTTTCATTTGAAACGGTCATTTAGGCAAAGAAAAAATTTTTTTTTTTTCAGATATCAGAAAATACATATTCAGTAAAACTGGTACATATCAAAATGCCTTGCCATAGTCTGTTGTGACTGCGATAATATTATGGGATTATTTATTGAATTGTAGTGGATCAATGTATCTATTTAGGGGAAATCTTCTAGCAGGAGGTGAAAAACAAGTCTAAAAACGTTGTTCTAATATATAGAACATGTGGATAATCTCATGCGGAGACAGAGGACACTCCGAGTTTACAGAAGAAAACCTGCTACCTACCAGGTTAGCTCTGGGGAGAATGTTGCTACAGTGACTGAAACAGAGGTTGAATAAACTCTTATTTATGAACCGGTAAAGTCAGAATATCCCTGTTTTCATGTTAAGACAGCTTAGCGATGTCGGTAAACCTGCTTCGTGAAACGGACCTCAGTAGGGGGAGAGTGCTATGTTGTTTTTTTATTGCCTCCATGGTAACATCTGGCAGCGACCATCCTTCCCTGTGCGTAAGCAGTGGTAGATACTGTTTGAATTGCTCCTGTTGCTCCACTTGATGGTATGCAAGCTAGTGACAAAGACAATCTGAGCAAAGAGTTGCATTGATGTCCCTGTGCTGCTTGGACATGAGGAGATGTGAACGGATGACAACAATTCAGACAAAATAAAATCTGTTTTGTTTCTTTATTTTCAACATAAATTAAGGCTAGATTCTGCAGCCCGGGGCCCTTTTCAAAATGATTCAGACCCATTTGAACTAATGCTGATATCGGTTTCTGAGACCAATCCATATATCGCTGTAGCTGTTTAGAGTTATCGAGAAGGAGCTGTGAAAAAATTTTAAAACATAATGCTGTCATTTTGGAGCCTCGCTGGAGCAAAGTGATGTGATGTTACTGTAAACCTTTTTAGGATTTCTTTTAAGTTCTTTGTTTACAGTCAAGTAAAACTGAAAGCTTTAGATAAACAAGACAGTTTTTCTTAATGAGATTATTGTTTAAAATTAATAGATCAGCAGATGTTTAAATTGGTTAAATCTCATTTCTTTACTATTCTAATGTTTAGTGTTACTTAGGTAGCTGCCATGTGATTGGCTGATTACTGTCAACAAGCTATTTAGCAGGTTTAGCTACATGATTTCTGTGTTTAGTTCATGTTGGTGCATTTTTTATGCTGGTGTTTCAGAACGTGTGAAACTGAAGCGGACTGACTTTCCTCTGGTGCTGAGAGTCATGCAGGGCCCCTGTGAGCAGGTCTGCAAGGTTTTCCTCATGGAAGAAGACTTGGGCGAAGAAGTCACTTATGATGTAAGTCATAGCATGAATTTTCCTACATGGTCCTCCCACTTTGATGCTGGCCTAAGAGGGATCTTAAATACGGGAACTACTCCATTAAAGGTTTTCCTCTTTCTTCCAGGTGGCACAATATATCAAGTTTGAGATGCCTGTCCTTCAGAGTTTCATCACCAAGTTGAAGGAAGAAGAAGACAGAGAGGTGCAGAAACTGAGAAGAAGGTAACATGAATACAACATTTAATGTAAACATTTGAAGAAACTGAGATAATAAATCTTGTACACCCGAAAACGACATTTTATATCCTCCTATTTCCATACGTACAGGTATAATTACCTTCGGTGTATCATTGAAAAGCAGCTTCGTGGTCTTCCAGAAGGAACAAAGTGTATTTAACCAAATCCTGGTGAGGACTCATTCACGCCTGGACACACTCCACATCGTCCCAGCTGTCACCAACAGAGTTCATAGACTCACAGATGAGATCTAGCTCCTTTGAATTTCCTCCAATTCACTCCACCTGCAGACAGCATGTGAAGCCTAGCGGATTATAAACCTAGCGGATTGCGTTTACATGATAGTTCACATAAAGTAACAATGGATCTTGATAAAATGAAATTACCTCTGTTTTTATTTTATGCTTTCCATACACCACACACAGAATTGAATTTCTGTTTTCCTGACTAATTTTACCTTTTTTTATTTGTTTAGCTGCCTGACTCTTAAATCAGGGGCCGCGTCACCTGTTCTTCCTCTGGATATTATTCTAATCCCTTTCAAGCACAGCTGTAAAGTGAAATGATTACAGTATGGTGAAGTGCCTCTTTTAAAAAAGCAGAAAATCCTTAAAAATTATCAACATTTTTTAATATGAGCCAATCAATTTTTGAAGCACAAGAGCAGAAAAAAAGCACATGGTTTTAGATCTGAATTCTGATGTCACTGTTATCATTCACATGCCTCCCTGATCAGCAGCCGTGGGAATCTGGCCACTGATTTTATATTTATTCCCCTGGTTTCATTTATGCTGGTAAATCTGAAGGCTCTTTCATGTTCCTAGCTCTGCAGATGATTTTTCATGATGCTTATGTAAAAAAAGAAAAACGTCTTTTGTACTTTTGGTAATTTCCTTTCTGTTCTGAGTTTAATATTTTGATGCTATACTTTCAAATATTTCCCACATATGAGGTTTTTTTTTTTCTAGTTTTTTTTTGTTGTTAAAATGGCAAGCTGTTTTAACATAAATTCGGCTGTAACGCCTTTACATTCAAGATATCTCAAATTATTTAATGATGAGACGTTTTAGCGATTTAAGATATCTCGAATAGGTATTTTGACTAGAGATATCTCTAACTACATTCTGACTAGTCGAAATGACGTCAGATTTACCATTAACTTGTATGGAGACGCAAATTTAAGATATCTAGAATGAATTACTGACCATCTGAAATACACATTTCAGATACCTACGATTAAATTACGACTAGTCAAAGTAATTTCAAGATATATCGATTTTAGTTTTGACTAGTCATAATTCTAATTAAAGATATATCAAATGAAACAATAATTCATGATATCTTAAATTTATTTTAGGATAGGAGATATGCAGTTTTGACTAGTGAAAACTAAATTATAGATATCTTAAAAGCAAATAATGACTAGAAAGGACAAATTTAAAGATATCTTGAATTGTAATTTCGACTATTCGAAATTCCTTTTAAGATACATCTAAATTAATTAAAGATATCTTGAATTATTCAGATTTTCCATTAAAGATATCTTAAATTGACATTCTGACTAGTTAAAATGTGTCATGATCTTTTTAATGGGCTTCCAGGAGGATCATTCCTAAAAACATTCCTTACTATCAGTTTAATCCACAGGAGGAAAAGTTAAATCAGCTCCATTTACTGTTATTTTCAGCACCCTTACATATGAATTACCGATATGTGGCGCTTTAAATGATGAATCCGGTGTCGTAATTTGAGATATCTTGAAAGAAATTTTGACTAGTCAAAATGTAATTTAAGATATATTGAATTATTATCCTTCCTAATCAGAATGTAAATACAGATATCTTAAATTACAATTCTGGATAGTCAAAATGTGGTGTTCTCTAGTCAAAATGTATTTTAAGATATCTGGAATGTAATTATGGATGGTCAGACGAAACCGAATTTATGTTTAAACGGCTTGCCATAATGACACTGGAATCTTACTTGACAGACTGATGTAAAATTGTGAATCGCTGTAAAGTGGAAGCAAAATGTTGCATCATGAGAGGTCCAAACATTGACTGATGTTTGTTTTTAGCCTTTTTAGACTTTGTTGGACTACCTTTTAAAGCAATGCCAGTTGCAAGTCCTTAGATGTAGCTTAGATGTAGACTGGGCCAATCTAACTCATAAACATACTACGAAGATGCATTTTATTTCCTAATGTTCTCTAGCAAACCTCTGAAGCCTTCACAAGCAGCTGAAATTAAGTTGGGATTAAAAGGACCATATTTTATTTAGAAGCATCAGATTATCAGATTTTAATTTATGTAAAAAAAAAAAAAGCATTAAAAACAAATTATTTTTCTTCCACTTCACAATTATTTTTTTTTTATTTTGGGTCTAGCTGATAAAATCTCTATAATAAAACTCATTGTGGGGAAAGTTAATTGGGTATGAATACTTTTGCTAAGCATAGTACAGCTGACACGACTATGAACCAGGTCATGTCTGAGACTGAGGAAACATTTAAGTCTCTTGTTGGAGCTCATTAACTCACTGAACTTGTTTCAAAGTGTGAAGGTGACGCATTATTTCACCGGCTCATGTTATTCTCCTCGGTCTGAAAGTTGCTCTCACTGATTTACTCAAAAAGAATTGTGTCAATCAGTGAATATTTATCTGCATACATAAAATACAGGTTGGTTTTTTGGTAAATGTTTATGAAATTATGTGCTCGCTTTGTTGATTTATATAAGATTTACAGTCTTTTTACACAACTGATTCTTGTATTTTTATTTTTTTGTATCATGTAAACAAAATCTGGTTAAAAACATGCGAAAAGGCAATAACAACAATAACAACTCACCTTTTTTGGGACTTTCCTTCATGTTTAGCGACAGATTAAACACAAGAAGCACAACAGAAAAAAAAATAATGAAAGCCAGTTAAAGCTGTGAATTACTTTAGTGATCTTCAAAGAAGAATGTCTGACATGTATGAATGAGCTCCTAATGAGCAGTACTTTGCATATTTTATGTCTTTAGCATTTCTCTCTCACTCTCTGGATAATTCACAGCAGACTATCAGTTTCTTTAAGACTCTAAAAGCGCATGTTTATATTTTTAGAGACTTATTATACTTGCCTGCTTTATTATTCGTCTTTTACATTCAATTGACTTTTTAAATGGCTTTTTTAAATGTGAAGAACTCATGCTGCCCCTTCAAAAAAAGAAGTTTGTTTTTCATACAGTGATTATGTTATTTAATAAAAAGCTGTCTTTGGAAAAAGTGTAGATTGTATGTTTGGTTCAGGTTAACAATCTTCAAAGTGGCTGAAGTGTTTTCTGTTTTGTTTGCAGTCACACTGAAATGTTTATTTTTTTTTTTTTTTATTTTAGAAAAGGTTGATATTTCCAAATAACTTGACTAAATATAAAATCTAATTTTGTTCAATGAGGATTTAATTTATTTAGTATAAAATGTGTTATCTGCTCCAAAATGAGCCCAATTTTTTTTAAATAAGTGGATAATTACCATCCTCTAATTCCAACATATATGTGAACATTTTGTAGGTTTTCCTTTCTAAAAGAAAAAAAAGGGACACTATATATATTTTTGTTGGGGGGGGGTTCACAAATTTTTATGTTCTTTTTTGTTTTCAGAGACCAATGACAGGATGTCAGCCACTTTTCTATAAAACTGGTCTCTACATTAACCAAGTTAAATCATCAGTACGGTTTAGATTTGGGTCGGGTTTTAGAAATGCTGTTTACTGCACTATTAAAAAGAAAGCAAAAATCATGATAAAAGACAGACTTTGTGTTGAAACACCAGCCCACTTTGCCGGTGGGTCATTCGGAAACTTGGTGGTCAGCACAAAATCAGTCCAGGGGTCCCCAATGGTCCCTGGGAAAATTTTTCTAATTTACTTAACCAATTAAATGAAACAATAAAATGAAACATAAGAAATTACAGGTCAGATGCATTTTTACTGGAATGTACATACTCATTACATCCCAATGGAAAATTCAGGAGAGAGATTGGGACTCATTCTAGCTTCTTCTCTAAGAGGTTTATTCATTTAGACCAAGTTAGAAACAAACACTCCCTCAGTGTCCCTCATAGCTATTTAAGTGCGAGATGTCGTCGGTCCCACGGCTTACTGATCGCTCAGCCAATGAGCATTAGAGAATCCAGTCCACCTGATAGAGGTTGTTTGGAGGATAACAGGCTGGAGATACTCATTCTTTCCTGCATACGGTCAAAGAAGCATCAGCTGTCCTAAGGTCTTCACAGAGACAACAAGCAACAACTGAACCACTCGGTTTTAATCGGCATCAACAGGTGAGCCTTTTTACTCTTCTACTAGACTGACCTACTTAATTTATCCATGTTTGAAGCAAAGAAAATATTGACATTTTAAATAAATTTAATTTCCTAATTTCCAACATTTTATTATTATTTACCACTGTTAGTCAAAGGACGTCCATAGAAAGTATTGTTTATGCACAAAGCAATGTTTATCAGTCTGAATTGCTTTAATCTAAGAGGGTTCCTGGATTATTCTCCAAGTTCCTGAGCTGGGGTATTTATAACCTAGACGCATCATAAGAAGACAGATTATGGTGAGGTGATGGCCGAGCTAAGGCTGCCACACCTTCAATCAGTCACATATGTAAAGGTGAAAGAGGTTTGATTTCTATACTGAACTAAATCTTTATAAGAAGCAGAGTAAAGACAGAGACAGACAGAAAAACAGAAAAAAGAAAATTATATTTATATTTAAAGGGAAGCAGAGATTCAAACAATTTTCATTTTTTTTCCTTATGAAAAGTTACATCAACCTAGATTAGGCCTACTGCTATTTGTTCATTAATATATTGCAATATATCAACAACTTCCCTCTTTATATAACCTTATTTTGGTTATAAAGGTATTACATCAGCATTGAAAGCAGTGATATCAAAACACGGATGCACCCCTGGATTTGCGGATCTCTGCTGGAAAAATATTTAAGTAATTTTTTTTCTTTTCTTTTATATAGTAAATCAGTTGTTTTATTTTAAATTAGCTTTGTCCAAATTACTCTTAATCGGCCTGACTTTTCTCTCTTTTATTAGGAATAAACTAAAAACAAGTTCAAGAATAAAATATCTTCTCAGGGAACTCTACCTGTTTACTGGCCCAGCAGGCCTCGGCCACAGATCCAAAGCCATCTAATCTGGCCGATCCGAATTAAAAGGACATAGAGATTATGAAAGCAGCCTGATCTCACGTTAGCTCTATTGTTGTCTTCCACTTATGTAAGATGTGTTTTTTTTCAAAGCGGGATTAAAAGCTGCCTTCTTTAGTGCTTTTAATGTAACGACGATGCAAAGATATACATGGATTAAAGCTGCACAGAGCACTTATTATTGCCTGGTTGTGTAAGAATACATTGTGCATTAAAACCAACCAGGCAGTCCTTAATGCACCATTTAGGAGGATTTCTTTTTAATGCTATATTTATTTTCTTTATTCTAATATTACTTATTTCCCTCCTAGGGTGCTACTTTAATATTTGTGAGTGATTCTTGCCCCTGCCAGGTCACTGAAAACAGAAAACTCAGAGGATAATGTTTATTTTTTTGTATTTAATGAGCTGCCCATGTACTGACATCGATGACATGAAATATAAAATTATGGCAGAAATTCTAGAAAGCAAAAAAGGAAAACATTTTGTCACAGAACTGCAGTAATGACTCCCAATCAGGGATTTTACTTTTACTTGATTAAATCAGTCATTAAAAACACAATAACACATGGTTTAATCTTAGATATACATGTCAAATGTGAATGTTTTTTTATGTACCTGACTGATTTTTATTGTGATTTATTCCAGCACAGAAAGACCAGAATGAACCTGCAGAAGGCCCCTGTCACGGTGGCCCTCTGTCTGCTGCTTCTTTGCACGCTGCTGCCCGGCTCTGAGGCCCGACGGGGCCGTGGAGGCGGTGGCTTTGGTCGAGGGGTAGGAGGAGGCTACAGCCGCGGATGGGGTGGTCAGTCCTACAGACCTGCACCTGTTCAGGTACAGAGAAGTGGTCCAAGTGCTGGGAAAGTGGCCGGAGCAGCAGCGGCAGGAGCAATAGGAGGAGCAATGATTGGGTCTGCTCTGAGCCGCCCTGGGTATGGATATGGATATGGGGGGTATGGAGGATACGGAGGATATGGAGGGTATGGGGGATATGGACCAGGATACGGTTCCCCTCATTTTGGAGGCGGCTACCGCCCAAGGCCTGGATATGAGCCAGAGGGCTCTGGAGACCTGGAGTACTACACTGCAGCATCGAGTGGGCCCATCTACAACAGCATCGTTGTTGTGATTGGCTTCATAACGTCCCTGCTGATGGGTAACTGCTTGGCTGTGATGTAGAGCTGGAGACCAACCTTAGATCTACTTTCCCCCACAGACCACATATCTGTCCTGGTAACAAGGAGCAATATAAACTCATCTCCAGCCCATTAAATCTCTAAAGAACATTTCATATAATCACTTAAATCAGCATTCATGGTTCCGCAATCATATCCATCCAATTAAAGGGAGTCCCATTATGACATCATGCATCATCCATTTCTCCATCAAGACATCAGAACAGGAGAGGATTTAAAACCAGCTACATACTTGATGTTATTAAATTATATTCTGTCACAATATGGTCAATTAACCTATGTGTGTATTTTATAAAGATCTAATTCGGTTAGAGACACGTTCCTTTTCATTTTGAATGCTACTGTGTCCTACGCTTTGATAGGTATACCCTATTTTATACCATGTTGAAGATTTCTGTGTATATACATTTATATATAAATGTGTATAAGTGTATTATATTGTTGTCTTACATTAATAAAGAATTATAGAAAATGGTGTTGATGTTTTTCTGTCACTCAACTCTTACTCAAGTAAGAAGGCATGTATTTAGGGTATGAAAGTAGGTTTTTAAATAACAGGTGTTTTAAACTTAACTTTTGGGTGAAATAATGAAGTCTATTCAAGTAAATTTGTCCATGTCCATTTAAAGTCCCGAGTCCCAAAGTTCTGTTGTGGATAGCTTCTTTGTTTTTGTTTCGCTAGAGAGTTCATAATGTCACACATGAAAGCAGTGTGTCTGAACTCTGCATTAAGTAGATCCAACAAATGAATCTATTGCAACTTGATACGTTCAATGCAAAGTCTGTGAACTCTTAAAATACTTAAATACTCTTAAAATACTCTCTTTCTCTTTTAGTATAGTTCTGTAAAAAAGTTTGTTAAATCTACTGACCTAAAACAGGGGAAATGAAGGTATGATCATCTTTAATGTCCGGCTGAGTAATAATCTAGGTTCAGATGCACCATTAGAGATACATTTGTTTTAACTGTTTGAACAAAGATCAAATTTGATTTATTACATCAAAGTAAATCATAGATATTGTACTCTATAGGCCTAGTTCACTGCTGCACTGAACTTTATTTGATTTAATAAAGATTACCAAAAACTTAATGTATAGAGAATCAATGAATCGTAAACTAATAAATTAGGTTAAAAATTACATTATTCTGTTAAAAAAAAATTGTCTGCAGGCCATTAAACTCCCAAACCCTTATAAGATCAATATTGTAAGACAAAATACCTCAGAAGGTATCACTGTGGAAGGTATTCTCGTATTACTCTGTTTGATCAACTCCAGGACAGACAGATAGTTCCCTATTGGATGCTAAAGGATATTCCCGCACATTTCAACAACATCTTAAAAGCTAGCTAACTCTATTTTTAGTGATGAGAGATTCCCAAAATCAGTCCCTTTTGGGCCACACATCTTCAAAATTGTTTTTCCATAAGGGGAGAACGATACTAGCAAACTGGACATCACTTTATTGGAAATCCCTGAAAGTTCTCAAATAGCAATGAGTTAATAATCAAACTGAGACTGTGTAAAGCAGTGGTTAAAACAACAAGGGTTCATCTGCCAAATCAGGGGAGACCAAGTTATATAAGAAAAAGTGAGAAATGATGTCTGATGTTTTATCTAAATAAAACATCACTTTCATACCATGTGATCTGCATGATAAGTCTTCTTAGTTTAGATAAAAAAAAACAAAGTGAGTAAACATCTCATTTATTAAGGCATGCTCCTGCACTATTGTTTTGTCATGCAGATAGGAAAACCATAGTGAAACAAATGTTGAATTGCTGTCAAAACAAAACTTCTTACAATGGCAATTCAAAACTTTCTCAAAAAAGTTATAATGATGAAAAGAACGATGCCAATTGTGAAAATATTTTCGAAAAGGGGGTCAAGTCAGCATCAGAATCCTAAATAAAAGAAGGGGAAAAAAGGGGGACAAGTTTATTCATATTAATTTAATTCAGGTTTAAAAACACAAATTCATGATTTGCACAGATTACACTTCACATGAGATAAACTGATTTTGTACAGAGTTAAACATGTAAACAATGTCATTGTTACAACACACCAATCTGATTATGTTAAAACAACCGAAAACCTGCAAACCAACTCTAACGATGTCTCCAAATGACATAAAACTTTTATTTTGCATTCAGTTTCTGCATTTCATTCCACTCTACAATGAGACATTATGTACATTTTTTTACTTAAAAATATCTTATTTCTCCCTTTGCAACTAGTGCTGCCTTCGTGTGGTGTCAGAATAGAATAGAAAAGAATAGAATAGAATAGAATTCAACTTTATTGTCATTCCACTGTCACAAGTACAGAGCAACGAAATGAATTCTCTGCAATGAACCCATCCCTTGGGGAGCAGTGGGCTGCCATTGTGCGGCCCACTGGAGACCATTATAACTATAATAATAAACATAACATAACATAAACATAACAATTCCAAAACTCACAAAATTAGAATATTTGAGTGAGTGAGTGAGTGAGTGAGTGAGTGAGTGAGTGAGTGAGTGAGTGAGTGAGTGAGTGAGTGAGTGAGTGAGTGAGTGAGTGAGTGTTATTGTTATTATAATCATTATACTATATTATTATTGTTGTTGTTGTTTTTATTAATATTGTTTTATTATTACTACTATTATTATTGTCACCATCATCACCATGCATGTGCATGGCCCACTAAATGAATCAAATGGCTTGCAATGATATATTGTGTACTTTATTTTTTTTTAAACAAATGAGAATGCATGCTGATCTTTACACCAATCAAAGTCAGAACAATTTTCATCATATAGTCTGACATTTCTCTGAATAATAATACCGGTAATAATAAAAAAAATAATAATAATAATTTTTTTTAAAAAACAGAAAAATACCCAGGCGATGACATGCTGGTTAAGGGGCTGCTTGTTAGGTCAGAACACACCAAATCTGATTTTGGGGCATATCTCTCTGCCCTCTTTATAAACAAAAAAAGAAGGAAAAACTTCAAAGAACTTAACAGATCTCTCTCTAAGAATCACCTCTCACTGACTCAGCATATAATCCATCCCTTGGCGTTTATTGCTGTGTTTCTTTTCTTTAGATGTAGATCTCACGTTTTTATTATAGACATATGAATGTTATCTATCTGTTCTGGTTTGAGATTCTGCACAGACTTGTCAAGTGGGGCTTTGCTTTATAGAATGCTTCAGTGTTTTTATTTAATTATTTTTAATAACTTTTCATGATCTGTCAAAGTCATATGTGGGATTTATTTATTTATTTATGTGGCTCAGAGCAGAAGCACTTATCTGCTCACCCTGCCTCTCAATACGTAGTCAGTTTGGCTTGGAAAAAAATCAGATCAGCGATTAAAAAGTCGAAAGCAACCGATGTGTTCAGGCCTGTAGCCTGTTGCCTACTTTCCTTCATTTACTTTAGGTCATAAGTTCCCACACTGTTTGAAAGATGTGCATCCATGTTAAATGGGTCTGAACTACCAAACAACCAAAACATTATATTCAAGATGGATTTTCTGGATTCTCTAGATATACACTACCGCACCACAGATATACGCCTGAAAGTGCACATGGGCAGAAAAAGATAGCTGACGGGGCAAGCACAAAGGACGTCCTTACATAAACATATCACCAGAATGACTGACAATTAGGAGGACCACTTATTTAGAAGATCCACCCGGAAATAAAAGATCGTCCTCTATACTTTCAATCATATTTAGTTACTTTAACATAATTTTTTCATGTTAGCAGGGTAGGAAATAAAACAAATGTGTTACAGGAACTAGATAGGATTAAGTAGATGCCAAAAAAGGTTGCATTATTTTTTTTTCAGTGTACAGCTTCTATTTTTATTCACATAAGTTCTACCTGTCCATTTTACCCGTTTCCTCTGAACAGGGTCATGGAAGAGCAGGTGTCTATCTCCAGTAGTCTATGGCTGAGAGGCGGAAGTTCACCTTAGAAAGGTCAGCAATCTAAGCAGAAAAAACACTAACAGGGATTTGAACTCATGGCTTTCTTGCTCCAGGGCCATAGTGCCACCTACTGCTCCCTATCATAAAATATACTTTTTTATTCAAAATCACACACAAATGTAAACAATGTGAAGCTAATCATCCAATCCAAAGCATTATTCTTTGCAAACTTTGATTATCCATATTTTTACTTCCCTTTCTAGCAATTGAGGGTGAGTGTGAGGCAACGTCTTTCAGTTCATTAGCATCCAAATTGTGCTTATAAGAGCAAAAATAATCCCTTGCCATCCCATCTGTAGCTTTAGTACCCCACTACTAGGTGAATGCTGTGTCTTTTTCTTCAAGTGGTTAAAGGAAACGATGTAGAGCTCAGTACATCTCCTCACCTTCATCTGCTCAATCAGAGCTGGGTAACCGATGTCCACAATGCTGACTGTGTCATCATCATCCTCTGCCTGATTGTTGTGGACAATCTGTGAAGCCTTCAGAGCCGACGCAGACGCCTCAGAGTTATTGAGAGGGATGTTGGTGGAATTTGAGGAGGCTGAGAGGTTTCCTGCTGCAGTGATGTTATTTATGTTGCTCGTAGTGGTAGTAGTTGTGGTAATTGCAGAGGTAGTAGGGGTTTTAGTCGTGGCGGATGGTGTTCGGGGTTCTGACCTCTGTTTCTTTGCTGGGAGGAGGTCTGATCTCTTCATGCAGGAGGTCATGTATTTCTCAAAGGTCTCAGGTGGTTGACTAAACTGGTAGTCCCTGCTGTAGTCGTTCCGGTCAGTGGATTTTGTACCATATCTCTGGTACATGTAGTAGTTGAAGTAATACTCCTCCTGGGGGCTGTGGAATTGGAAATGGGGACGGGGGAACCTCCCTAGTCCGTAGCCAATTGCCATTCCTACCAACCCCCCTCCTGCTGCTGCCATTGCTGCGCTGCGACCAAACCCTTTAGACTTATCCGACGGAGCAAATCCCATTTTCTGAACTGAGTGAGAGAAGGGAGAACCACCTCCACCTCCATATCCACCACCGTACCCAAAGCTGCCTCCATAGTGAGGGCTCAGGATTTTGTTGTTTGGGTTATGGTTGATGTAATTAACTGGATAATTTCCATAACCTGCTCCGTATGCGTAGCCTGGTGCTACATTACCTGGTGCAGGGTACAGTGGCTGCTGAGGGTATCTTCCATAGTGAGGATAACTTCCTGGTTGGTTGGGATACTGAGGATAGCCATCAGGTTTGGGATAACTTCCTGGTTGGTTGGGATACTGAGGATAGCCATCAGGTTTGGGATAACTTCCTGGTTGGTTGGGATACTGAGGATAGCCATCAGGTTTGGGATAACTTCCTGGTTGCTTGGGATACTGAGATTTGCTACCTGTTTTATCTTTAATACCAACTTTTTTTAGGATTTTTGAAAGTTTGCTTTTGCCTGCCATTGAGACATGAAGGCCAACTAAGAGCAGGGACAGGCACAAAACAGATGTAACAGGAAGTTTCATTTTTTTTAGTCTGTAAAAAAAGAAAGTTAAACTTGAATACATAGTTATGGAAGTAAGGATATATTTTCGTTCTTGTATAGACAGAAAATGTAAGCATAAATGGCATATTAACATTGATTCATTTCTGCTCTCAAATCTTTCTTCTCAATTTTTCCCATTGAAGACTTTTACCTACAGTTATCTTTGTTTTAAATTTACTTCAGTGAAATATTATCTCTTGAAGACATATGAAGACATCTGATGCTCTGCTGTTTATTTGACTTTTTCTAACTGGGAGGAATTTCCCTTTTCATTCAAGTGATTTAATTTTCAGTGTACCTTTGTCTCTGAGATCATATATTTTTATCACTTTGCAGACAAATAAAGATTCTATATCCACATTTTTTATATTTGAAGCACTGAATGGAATTATTTTTAAGGGTCGTGCCTAGAAGGAGAAGATTATGTCAGGATTTGGGATCAATGGCTGGGCTGGTTATGTGGTTCTTCCTAGGATTTTCTAGACATCATCGTGAGACTGCTGCTTCTCCACACCTGTAGCTGATCATCATACCACCTCTGTGTATAAAAGGAGCAGTTCTCTACTCAGTCAACGCCTGAATGTAAACCTACTATGGAAACATCAAGCCAAGCTCTGAGTTGTTACTGTGTTGACCTAAACCTCTGTGTTCTCCAGCCCTATTCCTACTAACCTTTTATGTGTGTATGCTCAACCAAAGTACTTCAAGAATCACAATCGGATCAATAGATGGGGAATTCTGTTTTCAAGTTACTTCCTAGTTCTCTCTCTGTGACTTACTGTACCGCTTGCAGCCACAAGCTTGATTCCCCGATCCGCTCACCTCTCCTCGGCCTTCCCACAGTAAGCCTTGAGCCCTGCTGGATCATCTATCCATTCTGTAGAATAAAACCCATTTCTTTCCAATTTCTCCTGAGAGTCCTTCTTACACGTGGGTAAGAAAGAAAAACAAACATGACTAAAAGAAACTGTCCAGATCAAAGTCTGCACATGCTTCAGCTGCACATAGCTCAGCCCACCTGTCCTCATCATGAAGCTGTCAGGCTAAAAATACTAAATCTACTACAGGCAGCAGTATAGTAACTTGTCACTCTTTTTTCTACTTTGTTGTTTCAAAGGCCATTAACATTAAATTGACAAACTTAAATGTAGATAAATTAATCGGACGGCCTCCTGTGTTCTGTCCAGTTAAATCATTTTTTTAGATTCTTTGATTCCACATGCAGACACGGTTATGTTGTTGTCATAAAGTGAAACGGTTCTAAGAATTGTTCACTGCGCAGTGTTAGCTTTCTGTGATCTTATTCTATTAAAGAGTGACTAAATATTAAACTTTTCAGTATCTATCTTTAACTTTCATAAAAACAGAGCAAGGCATACCAACCTTGTGCTTTCAGGACGTCCGCTAATACAGCTTTACCCTCCTTCCTCTGGTCTCCTTAAATTTCAGCCCCTCCTGTCTCTGTTACACTCTAAAAAAACTTAGATCACAGACAAACTAATGAAAATAAATAAAACTGGTGCCTAAAAACTTCAAATTAAAGTTATCACAGTAGATTTGAACATTTTCATTGCCCTATAAGGATTTCTATATAATCCACCAACACGAAATTAGTAACAGATATGAACAGGAAAATAATATTTTTTACAGGATTTTCAACATTTTTGAGACAAACTGTTGCAGGCATTTAGACTAACCCATCTTTAACTTGATACCCCCAAATAAAATTCAGTGCCATGTGTAATTTAATCTAAAGATTAAACCAGCTGCAGTGTGAAGGTTGCATATATTTTAAGGAGAAAATTAGAAGCATCATGGAGACCAAGGAGTGGAGCAGAGATGTCAATGATAAAGATCTGTAAAAGTTTAAAGCAAAGTCATGTTTTAAATAATTATTGAGCTCTGCCGACATAGAACACTGTTCAGACTATCATCTGAAACTGGAACGTTTTTGGCATAACTGCAAACTTTTAAGATATTGACCTAAGCTGACTGGACAGGCAATGAGTGCATTAATCAGAAAAGCTGTGAACAACTGTGTTGCTCACCCAACAAATCTGGGATTATGGAAGGGAAGCAAAAGGCTAGAGCTCATATAGGAAACACAGCAAACTACTCAATTTAAAATAATTTGAAAGAGCTGAGACCAAACCTAAACTTTGGGAAATGCTGTGTGGCAGAAAAAATAACAAAAAACAAAATATCATCATAAATACCTTATCATCAGGTATGATGGATTTATGTTAAGGGGGTGAGAGGGGGTTGATATGTCTGACTGGAACTGTAAATGTTAAGAAACGGTTCTTACACTGTAGTAAAAGTTAAACCTCACTCACACAAAGCGGCCTGTATGCTGAGTGGCGCTCTTATGTGTTGGGACTATTTGAAGTTACCAAAAAAAGGCATGAGATCTTGTGATCATGAGATCATTGGTCCATAATTATTGATAGAAGTTATGTTTATTACTGCTGGGGAAAAGCTGAGCAGATCAGCTCAGCTTTTGTCCAGCAGTACACAGTTTAAACTAAGGAACTTTGGAGGAAATAACATTTGTTTTGTTTTAAAATTAGAAAAAATGTAATTTAACTGGTTTCAATATGAACCTAATCCCTATCCATAACAGTCCAATCTGTTTTGTCATGAAGTGGTTCAGCCTTTATAGAAGGTTGCATAGATGCTGCCCCCTAGTGGCCATAAACAATTATCCCCTTAAATAGTGGATTCAACATTTTTTAAGATCTTAAAATATACCTATTGATACGTGGTTCCCAAAAAAATATTTAACAGCATAATGTTAATTCAAAATGTTAAACTCCTATGCTGCATGGATTCAGTCACAGATACTGTTTAAATTGATTGCTTTATTCAATAGACTGACCATAAAAAGACCATAAAAAGATGATACACACCACAGAGAGTTAATACACAACAACACGACACAAAAAATAAAATATTATAATAGAATATTTGTAGAATATAGAATATTTGATAAAATGCGTATTTATTTAAATAAAATCTAATTTTGCTATACAAATCTGACACAACTATGGATAAAATGATCTGACAGTAGTCAACAAAAAAAAAGGTGACTGTTATGTGTCAAGCATATATTGGGAAATTGAGTGAAAAAAAAATTGTTTGGCATAAAGTCATGCAAAATCCAAGTATTGAGGTGCATGTACTGTGCAGTATACACACTTATTCTGCAGGAGGCTGATAGTTCTGTAATAATATGTTTTTATGCTGAATGTCTGCACAGAACAGTGCATTTTGACATTCTTAAGGCTACAACTGTGACTCTGGTGGCCATTGAGAATATCAGGATGCACATAGGAGATAGCATTTATATGAGAGAATAGGCCACCTCAACTTCTAAAATATGAGTTTAAAGGATATTGAAATACACTATTTTCAGAGAAACTGACCCTTTTCATGTACTCTGAGCAAAGGTGACCAAATCATCAGCCAGTAAGGATGAGAACAGTCACACTTTCTGCATTGTTAATAACTATTAATTTGCAGATATTTTTTGTTCCATTTCCACAAAAGCAGGTGAAACTGGTTCACAATCACCCTTCCTACCTAAATGGATATATAATTATGATTGACTTGGAATTAAATTGTGTTAATGATAATCTAATTTATAAAGATGATGCTGTAAAAAGCATTAGACCCAATGCATGTGTATAAAACATAAAAACCTAATGTTTAGGCTTTTTTCAGTTTGCATTTACAAAGTTGATACATTAATTTGTAAGCTAAACTTTGTTTTTTTCAACTAAAATGAAAAAAAACCTTAATAAACCTAAAGGTAGATTGTGTGTTATCAGCAGTGGGCAGGAAAGATCTCCTTTAGCAGTCTGTTTCTCAGCGGCTCCAGAGAAGCCTCTGACTGAAGACATGAGCTTCATTTCAATTAACCATTAAATTGTGCAAATTGCAATTATTAGTTAAATTTGCTTAATGGAAACACTGCATTAAAAATATAAGTCAAGTTTTCTGATGAAAAGTATTTACGCTTTGGTCCTGTTGAATTCTTAAATTTTGCAAAATTGCAATAAAAATAGTTTTGCATGAGTCACGTGATCTGCAGCTGGACCTTACTGCCTTGTAAAAAGAAAGATCAGAAGTAGGTGAATGCTGCAGATTAGAGCTGTGGCTAAAATATGGATATATGCGTTTACTTTCTTGCAGTCATGTTTTCAGCTGTCACCTGAACAAACGTGCAATTTTAATTGTATTCATTTAATAAAAAATACCACATTTGTAAAACTGTGCCTTTTTAAAATGAGCAGACAATCACGTTTTCTGCACATCTGTAATGAAAACACAGCTACTGCCGAGTGTCAAACATTGTTTTTCTGTTTTCCTCTTTGAGGGGGATATTCCTCCCGCTAACTTAAAGCAGATCGAAAAACACTAAGCAGATTAATTTAATACAAACAGGAAAATCAATGAACAAAAGGTTGTAAAGGGCTGTATATTCTTTATTTGCATGAAACTAGTTTCATCATTGCTCTCTATGATGAGTCACCCAGCAACTGCAGCAGATAGGGTTTACAGACAGATGATGGCGTAAAAACACAGTATGATGTCGACAGCAGAGGAAGACAGACAAGGTGACAATAAGGCATTAATAATATATGAAAAGAAACACTGCAAGACCGATTCAACATAAAACCAAAACCAGGTTGAGCTGTTGCTTCAGTTTTGTGCTCTTTTTCTGTCACCAAGCATCGTTCCAGAAAACGATTCCGATTCATCCGAGATGCCGAACTAGATCCAGTGGCTCTCAGCTTCCTGCAGTTCTCACTGCTGCAGTATGGTGAAGTTACAGCTGTATGGAACCTCTAACAGCTATCAGGAGGGAAGGGGTGAGCATTTACCTTATTAGAGGAGGCATACACAGCATGGCAGTTATATGTTATCTTTTTTCCCAGTGTGTGATAACTGGACATCTGAAGCCAAAATGGTTAAAAGACATCCTCTCATTTAGCTGATAATTACAGGATGTGTTAATGGCTGAACAGAATTTAGCCTATTATAGCTGCATTGCTGGCAGGGTTTGCACAGGTAACTGGGAGAATATCAAAAGGTATTTAATAACATTTAACCCTTTTATTACCACAATACAAAATATAAATCTTATCAGTGGCTTCAGAACTTCAGCTTCTCCTCCTATAGATCAGCAGCTTTACATGGATCACTTGGAGTATATTCTATAACTTTAAGGAGAGTTCGACTTTTTACCATTGAAACACAAAACATACAAAAAAGAGCAAAACAATAATAGATATCTGCACATTTTTTGTACAGATTGTCATTTCAGTGGCAAAGCAGTAAGAGAGAGAGAGAGAGACCGCCCGCATCTGATGGAAACTCCTCCTTTCTGGAACAGTTTTTCATTTGCTTATTCAAGCCACTGAGGACCACATAGAAACTGTTACTCAGTAGAGAAACAGAAAAATACGGATTTCTGACATGTTGATTAATATGATCCATTAGGACGATTACAACAGAAAATTAAATGTGGGTCAACAAGAACCAAAAGGTTCTGCTTTTTTTTCTTAAAACGCCGGCAAATAAAACCCAACTCATAGGAGACAAAGTGCTGGCCTTTTGCATAGCAAACTGTACAAAGCTGCTTCTTCTGTGGTGCAAGACAGAGAAAATATACAAACTATTTACAAATTTACACACAGGAATAAGGGGGGGGGGACTTATGGGATAGCTACAGAGCAGCGACCAAGAACGGTCTGAGTGACTTCCAAGATCTCACATCAGAGACATCGTCGTCTTTGTTTTACCTTATCAAGATAAAGCAGGATTAACAAGACAAACGGGAGGTAAAGCAGAGGCTCCATTAGAAGATGAAACCAAAAAAAAAGGAGCCAAACACTGGAACATCTGACACATCCTCTTCCTCTATGTGCGAGTCAGTCCTGCAGTTTCCTCATCCCTCTTCACACACCATTGGCACTCATTTTGCTCTTCTGGGACACTTCTGCTGCTGCTTTAGCCTGAAATGAAGAAATACAAAAATAAAAAAATAAAAAAGGGGGGGGAAAAAAAGTCCTTCAACAAATTTATATCCTCCTTTCTAAACTGGAATCCTGGATTGTTAAGTCTAGTTATAGAGGCTGGTTTTTAGTATCAATGTAAATCAAGATTTTGAAATGATATACATTGAAAACTGTTAAAAAGTGTCACTGGGGTAACTCACTCTCCCCCACACGTTTCTACATACCAACAGTCACAATTACTCCATTTACACTACCCTGTGAAAACGAAACGGTGGCGAGTTCAGACCGAGCTTGGATCAGTTCCTTACGACCACTTAAACATCACGCCATCACGGTTCCTCACCTCCTAGTGACAATCTACTGTACTACTGTTCTCTACAGGTAAACAAGCAAATCGACATGGCGGCACTCGTAACACTCAGGAAGTTTGTTTACAATTGTGATGTCATTTGCGGAGTAAGAAGAAGCCAGCCTTTGGTGAATTTACTTGACAGAGTCGGCTTTTGGGAAGTGGATATAAAAAACGATAGTTTAATCAGGGCTTACAGTTGCAGGAAACGACGACGGATTTTGAGGTTCATCACACTGCTAGGCAGAATCATCACAGGAAATCGTGGGGCACGGTAGGGAAGCTAGTAGTTTTATGAATGAAATTTCATGATTATGGAGGCTGATTGTAAGGAGATGACGCGGTCTCCTCATGCGCAGCACAAATAATCAAACAGATAATACAAGCATATTAGGTTTAGTTACTCTAAAGAAACTAAAAGCTATAACATTTTGCACAATGAGAACCTGAAATTGAGTTTGTTTTTTCCAATTAGTTTAGTCAGCGGGACTGAAAATTATTTTAAAAAGTTACCACAATACCTTGAATTATTTTGATTATACACATGTGATAATAAATAATTGTCATTATTTTCATCTTCTTACAGCAATCAAAACTGTTCAAAGGTACAAAAGAAAAGAAATATCTTCCTATGAAATGTATGTTTTAAGGTCATGTGGTTATGGTTATTTTTAATAGAACACATTTAGTAAAATAATTAATAAATCATAAAGGTTGCTGTCAGATGGTCTGAATCAGGACAGAAATAGAGACTTATTTTGACCACAGTCAGAAAGTCAGAAATAATGCTTCCTACTGAAATACAAAATCTAGTTCTCTTCAAAATAAATTAACAGATTTTTTCTTACAGAGGCCATCAGGAGAACATTTCATACTCCTTTGATCAGTCATAGAGAATATGCTGATTTTTTTTATTATTATTAATGTTCTTCCTTTTCTATTAATGCAAGTGTGCTACAGAAAGTGTTATTCCACCTGTAGTCCTACATATCTAAGATCCGTTCTGCATAAAAAACAAACAAAGAGAAATGATCAAATCAATAGTATCATTTCCTTCTATAAGTCATAGTTTATCATTCAAACTAAGGAAGCCAAATGTATCAAGTCTTTGACTTACAGCATAATATTTTGCAAGATCTGGAAGAGCTGAGGGAAAACTACACATCAGCTGTAAACAGCGAAAGCTCAGACTTCCACACTCAGCTGACCCAGTTAGCCTAATAAACAGCTAATTTATTCACTGTTAAAGAGCAGCATACAGCATGTAATCACTTCTATTCTTACCTGAAGGACCTCAGCAGGAGTTAAAGGTTTGTCCAGCACCACAGGGGCTTTGTCCTGAAGCTCCTCTGTCTATAAAACACCAACAGAACAAAAACTAAGGACATGACTGAATCCCAACATCAAGTTAATCTGACTGAAATTTGTTTATTTTTCTTCTCCAGTTTGTGACAGCTATTATTTTTGGAGGAACCTGGCAGTAGCTTTTGCTATATCACATCCTGTATGTTTATCAGTATTATTGTGACATTTCAATGAAACAGCTAAATGACTCTAGTAGTAGAAAATTAAAGTTTTTCCATAAGCCACTGACCGGCCTGTCTTTGATGATGACGGCAGGGTCGGCCAAACACTCTGGGCTGGTAGAGGCTGGATTAGCTGCTGAGTTTTCTGGAGTTGCGGCCTTCTGCAATGAATGCACACAAAAAAGAAATGAGAAGCATTAATCTTATGAGAGTAAAAAAAACAAACAACTAAAATATATTAATTCAAGGTCTGGACTGTTTTAAAGCACAAAAAGACAAACCCTCAGTTGATTGGTCACTTTGTTTCTTATATAAATTTAAAGAAAATTATATAAAGATGTGTTATGCCATGTGGTTTTTGCTGCTTTCTGTTTAACAACACACATCAGAAATGTTTACCCACAACTGAACGTCAACACCAGAGACATGCGAAGAATTTACACATCAGGAACGTCATTCAGATTAAACTCCTAATCTGGAGATCAATGCATCTTTGCAGCCTGAGAGAATTAACAGAGACTGAACTATTCGAACCTCTAGTTTGGGAACAGGCGGGATGACGTGGGGTTTGGGTTTGAGGTCGGTCAGATACATGGCTCTGGAGAGCAGAAGCAGCGATGGAGGGACGTTCTCCTTCAGGTGCAGATCCAGCCACTGAACAGAGAGAAGCATTTAACCGATAAATACGCATTCAGCCTCATCATGATCGTCATCGTCAGGAAAACTTCACTCAAAGTAATCTGTAAGCAGTTTAATTACAGCCTCTGTGACTCACAAGGATCATGAAATAAGCTGCGTGTTTCTGCCCAGCAGTGAAAAAACACAGAGCTGCATACCTGCTGCAGCTGCTGACGTAGCTGCTCTGTGGTGAGACCCAGAGACCTCATCCCACGACTACGACACGCCGCCTGCAGCTCTGACACACTCATGGCTGCCACGCCCTCTGCTGCAATCATCTGTGGGAAAAAAAAGTTAAGATGAAGCGAAAATTTCATCTGTGGACATTAGGGGGAAAGAAATGATTTTTAAACAAGGAGAAAATCGTATCACTATCTTAGCATAAGACTTGCACCCAGATTAACTTATTTCCATTCTGAAATGCTTTAAAAGGTTTCCCATTATTAGATGTCAAATTCGTAAACCACAGATCCAACCAGGTCTCACCTCGTCATCAGACTTAATATTTCTTAGTTTCATCATGAGCTGGAAACGCAGCAGGTTGTTTGTGCCTATGGGCTGAAGCTCCAACAGCTTGCACAGAGCCACCAGCTGGGGACGCTCTAGGTGCTCCAGGGTCAGTTCATCTTCAAATAGCTTTGAAAAGCGAACAATCTCCTTAGTAGAGGGCTGCTCACCTGTACCCCGAACCTACAGCAGAAAAAAAGGATACTACTCTGAAACATTTGAATTCTTCAGGCCCTTTTTTTTCCCAGTTAGACACATAGATTCCAATGAGTAATGCAGTTACTGTAAAACAAATAGTTAAAAAAGTTCAAGCAATATTAGAATAAAAAAACAAAACCAAAAAAAAAGGATGCGATTATGAACATTTAAAATTCAGGTATTTTAAAATATAAAACAAATAGGGTAGAGCATATGTAACTGAATTTAAACCGGGGCTGACAGTGTTTGGACACTAGGTATACTTGGAAAGAACCAAGAAAATCTGTTTTTGTTCTGAATATATTTTCTGTTTGAGCAGTATATCCCAACAGAGCTAGTGTTCTGCGAGAGCATAAACAATCACTTTTGAAACCAGGTCCTAGATTGTGGAGAAAAACAATTGAGTTGTTCCTGTGTTTACCGTCTCCGCATCCGCAGTATTTTCATCAGAGGTTTGGGTGGGATTTTATCACAGTGTAACAGCTCCACCAAAATACCATACCCATGCATTGGTATTTTGTACCCTTGTGTAGATGCAATTTTTTTTCTTTCCAATTAAAATACGCCATATTCATCTGCATGTGGACATGAGGGCTTTTCCTTTAATGCCCATCTAAAGCCAGACCAACTGCACAAGGCTACGAGAAAAGTTCTACATGGGCGTTATGTCGAGAATAATATGACACCATTTTGAACTTTCAGCCATAAGAGCAAGAACAAAAGTTCTTGCTTATCGTAGAGTATGTAACAATTTTAAAGAGTTTTCATGTGGAAAGACGTCTAATACCAAGGATGTTAAAGGGGAATGCTGTTTTTTTTTTTTTTACATTGCCCCCTTGATTTTACAATATTACATCATGTTCTACTCACCCATGTGAGTTTTGTGTCATTTGGAGCTGTTCTGAAGATATTCCGTTAGGTTATATCCAGGTAACGTCTTCCTATGGGCAATGACTTGAAGGCACAAACTAAACTGTTCATAATTTATCATTTATGGTACGCCAGCATTCATAACATGTAGGCGAATCACTGTCCCCCAGACATCTGCGGTTATATTTTTCATATTTCTATGTTTTAAAAACAAAGCGCTGCATGTATGACGTCATCCGCGTGCCGTACTGGAGTTGTGGCAGGCAGCCCGGGCCACAGGCGGCTACGCTCTACCCCTTCTATTCATTCGGCGAGCTAATCTGAATCGTTCAATTCCATTTGGAGTGCGAGATCATCTGTGGTAGTAGCACTAGACATCTTCCAGGCATCTGAGTAAAACTAGCAGCAGTTCAGCGGACAGGATGGATGAATGGTAGCCGGCGCGCGCGGATGACATGGTACACAAGCCGCTTCGTTTAAAAAAAATATAAATAACCGTGGATGTCTGGGGGACAGTGATTCGTCTACATGTTATGAATGCTGGTGTACCATAAAGAATAAATTAGGAACAGTTTAGTTTGTGCCTTCAAGTCGTTGCCCATAGGAAGACGTTACTTGGATATAACAAAACCGAATATCTTCAGAACGGCTCCAAATGACACAAAACTCATATGGGTGAGTAGAACATGATGTAACATAAAATCAAGGGCCCAATGTAAAAAAAAAAAAACGGTGTTCCCCTTTGAATAGAAATAAAAATGGCTCTAATGTGGGCCTATGGGGCTTTCTATATTTTATTAGGTTCAGCATTGGATTAGCATTGCTAGCATTTCAGGAAGTCAGCGTGGAGTGCTTGTTAATTGATTGTAATGTCTGCACTATACAAAAAAAAAAAAGAAAAAAAAAAAAGGACATGACTTAATTTTTTTAATAAGATGGAGAAGTTTAGTAAAAATGCTTCTTCTGTTTTTTGTTTTACCTTTAACCCTTAAAAAACAACAATAACAGAGTACTGAGGTTGTAGCCAGACACTATGTTAGTTTTGTTAAATTTACCTTTTGAACATATTTGGAGAATCTCTGAGTCTCATCTTCAGTCTGAGCTTTAGCTTTATTTCTTCGGGCCATCTCAGCGATGGTCTCCTGGAGAAACTTCGCCAGTTCCAGCTTTGCAGCCAGACCCTTCTTCTGCTTCTCTTCCTGTAGAAATGCGAAAGTTAAGCATCACAAATAGACTGCATTAGTAAAAAAAAAATTAAAAAAAAAAAAAAAAATCAAACTCATGTATCCTTTCCCTTCAAAATATGGATCTAATATTACAAAGTTCTGTGTGCATCATCCTAAACACAATTCTTTAGACAGGTATAAATGTCTCTGCAACCAAATGCCATGAATGTTTTCAGTTAGTCCTAGAAGTCTCATGAGTTACATAATCATAAACATAAACTGAGGTAGGAGGTCACTGAGGCCAAAGGCAGGCTTTGTGAGTTTGAAGCACATGCCTTTTTAGACTCCGTCTCAAAGGTCGAGGGCAGCATCTCTGGGAAAAGCTTGAGGAAAACGGGGAGAAGGAACTCCATAAAAGGAACGATGATAAACAGCATGAAGGGCACCAAGCGGAAAAGGTCAGCGCAGGTCCTCATCAGCTGTAAACACAAACAAATGCTGATGTGAAAAAGTGTGTGGATAACAGTGTTTTGAAACAGCTCTGCTGACAGACGGCGGGTCTTTAGCAGCGTATTGGAAATAGGATCCATTACACGAGCTTTCCCTCCATAAAAACAGCTCAAATATAGATTCACCATGGTGTGTGCATGGCGGGGGTCAGTGCAGGTGAATGTTTGTACAGCTTTAGAGACACAGACTGGAACGGGAAGGACCTTTTTAAACAATCTGGTTGTTTCAACTCTACAGTCGATATTTGAATTATAGATCTATGCATCTAAAGAGCAAAGAATTTGGGGTTGATTTCTTACATTTTATTTTTCAAAAATGAAATGCTGCTTTAAATAGCTCTAAATACTTAAATGAATCATATTAGCAAGCAGCATATTAAAAAGCATTACATAAAAAAGAGCAAGAGTTAGCATCATCGATTCAATTTAAGCCAATGTGAGAGCTGCTAGAAAATCCAAACTTTCCTGTCAACAGAAGGCAGTAATTTTGAGCTGTACGCACTAAATACAGGCTATGAGGAGCCAAGTTCTCTCAGTAAAAGTTAACCTTTCCATAATGTTGGCCGTTTCTGTAAAACAAGTTCTGTTGGCAACATACATCTGGAAATGTATGCGTTAGATATGTTTTTGAATGGATTCCTTAAGTAATAACAATACATAGAGGCCTATTAGTCGGGTTACATGTAGGGCTGCAACTAACCATTATTCTGCAAATTGATTCATCTGTTGATTATTTTTTCGATTAATAATCAGAAAGCAAACGGTTCCTTAAAGATATTTTGTTTATGCAATAAAAATATGTGAAACTAAAACATTTCCACTTAAGTTCTAGATAGAGCAAATTGACAGATGAAAAAGTTTTTTTTTTATATCTTAAATGTAAAATGTTTTTTTTTTTCAATTTTGGTATAATTGATGCTCAAGGTGGGTCACTCAGCTAAAGCCATGTTTTAGAGTCTCTACACTCCAGTTAACGATTAATCAATTACTAAACTAGTTGATGACAATCATTTCAATAATCGATTAATCATGATTAATCATTTCAGCCCAAGTTACATGCATTATATGTAAAAGACAGAATTTTTTCTTCTCCAACACCATCCAGCATTTTATCAAAGAAAGCTTCTAAGCATTTCAAAAATGATCTCTGTTTTCCAAAAGGTCAAAGTAACACATAGTATCCCTACTATAGGCAAAAATATCACAACTGCAAAGCAATATTTGTTTAGGCATTCAGGCTCTGAACATCAGTGACATCGATGGGGAAGGGGAGAGACCTTTGGGTTGCCTGCGTCGAGGATCTAAGGCCTCCCTCCGTACATGGGTCGTGCGTGCTAACCATTGCGCCACCGAAGCAGGCCCGAGGTTTAAGAGCTGTACAAAAATCATTTAATAGAAGTGCACCAATTGATCGTCCTCGTTTCCTTCTGATCAGCTATTGGTCGATATTTAGATGTGAAACTCATCTTTTCCACAGATCTTATCCACCTCTGCAAAGATCTAAAAACCACCCAAGGTGAGTGCTCTAAACTTTATTTATTATTTGAAAGCTGTAATTTCACATTTTATTGTTTTAGAGGTACTGATTAATACCATTTATTACGATAAGATTGAAATACTGAAGGTGACTTGTGATCTTATACCAACTGACAAAACCAGCTATAAAAAAAAAAAAAAAAAAAAAAAAAAAAAAAAAAAAAAAAAAAAAAAAACATAAACCTTTATCAGTTTAATACAGAATAAGCATGTTTTTCAAAGATTGGGAATTGATGATTGTCCAGCAATCAGCAATAGATACATCCTCCCGAGTACCTTCCCAAATATCTCAGTTGTGGAATATCATGAAGGTTGTATTATTATCTATCAAAGTTAGGTTACTCAGTGCTCATCCAGCAACATCCAGCTGTTGTATTTGTAATGTTTTTCTTTGCAGAAATAAATCATCTCATGTCTCACAGGATAATCAGATGGATGTTTGCATATTTCAAAGAATCTACAGGAAAAGAACATATCCATATATTTCCGATAAATATATCTTAAAGCATCTCCAAAGACGTCAAAATCTGTTTAAATTTAAAGCCTTGACCCTTATCATGTTGGTGGAAGGTGTCTGATGAGATCAGCCCTACTTATGGGATTTGGGGAGGTAATCAGCTGATATCCTGAGCTTAAAATTGGATAAATGTATGTCAGAATATAACATATAGGCTCTCTTACCCTCCTCCTCTCCCTGCGTGTTAGCAGCTGTCCATGCAGCAGCCTCCACACCATCCTGACAGCGATCTTGGTGTCGATGCCCAGTAATCTGAAGCCATTATAGTAATGCTTCAACTCATCCACAATCCTCTGATACAGAGATTTTTTCACAATTGCCTTTTCCTGTGCGGGAAGGATGGCCGCCGGCGCTGTGGCCGGAGCAGTGGACGTCAGAGTGGGAGCTGATGGAGGCTGAGAGTCAGTTGTGACCAACACAGAGTCTTTTTTATCTCCCATAGGAGCATCCTGGGCAGCTGCAGGAGAGGTTTTCGTGTCGTCCGGTTTTACATCCTGGAGCCCAACACCCGAGAAGTGAAGCGCACGGGCGAGCAGGACGGAGCTGTCGCCACGGCTGTAGGAGTGAACCCAGGCGCGGTGGGGGTAGCTGCAGCGGGAGTGTCGGAGAGAAGACCAAGAAGGGATGTGGTGGGGAAAGTCTGTGTGGAGGTAGGCTTTGGATGACAGAGAGGAGCAGCTGTGCCTCTTGGTCAACAAATATGATCCTCTGTGGACAGAAATGGGAGAAACGCTTTGACAGTGATACAATAATAATGTATTATTCTATAAAGACAGTCAGAATTAACACCCAGAGTTAGGTGACTGTTTATGAACTCCATATATACCTAAACATTACATGGTCATTTCATTTTTTAGTAAATAGAAAAAGAAGAAAAACCTCTTGTTTCTGATTTTTAAATTTCTCATGTGTTAAAATTGTCCAGTCATCTCTATATGGGATTTTTTTTTTTTGTTAAAAAAAATAAATTAATCCCTGAATATCAGATTTAAATATGTATAATATTTATTCAAAAAGAGATCAGACCAAATAATAACAAACTAAAAATATAGTTCTGATACAAATAAGTACTAAAGGCAGGGCATTGATGGCTAAGGGGTGGTTAAACTCCCCGCAGCTTTACGCAGACATTTTTGATTTATGCTCAATTTTGAGCGTGGTCTGCTCTTCGCTGTGGGTGTAGAAACGGCCAAGGCGGCATAAAAACAAAACAAGCCGGCCTCCTATCTGCGGTCAGCTACAATTTGTGAGAGGTGCATCTGTCTGCGGAGGGGGACGTCTTTTTGTTCACTGCGACACCTATGCAGAGGACCTGGTTTTAAAGTATATGACCACCATTGTTAGACAATAACTATAAATGCTGGTGCATCATAGTTCTTCTCATTTGTTGTTTATCTAAACTAAATACAAATGACAACAGCGAAGGCAAACTGCTGAAATAAGTTACATTTTGAAATAAATTCTTTACATTTTCACAGAATTATCCCAACACTTATGATTTTTTTATAGACAAGGAGTACAACATAATTTATTCTTTCATATAAAAATCTGCTTTTATTAGTTTTTTGTTACGATTATAGTCATTACATGAAAACTTTGGCTGGGTTATTTATTAACTATCAAATACATCATTGCATGTTCCCTGACTTTCTCTGCAGTATTAAGGATTCATTTATCAATAAGATAAAACATGAAGAGCTGTTTGCATTAGCAAAGGAAAACCATTTGCTGGACTTGGGGTGAGAAATCTATGCAGCAAAATGCAAAGTTTTTTTTCTGGTCAATTACACATAAACAATGCAGACAAAAGAAACTGTCTTAACTACAAACTCAAAACTGTCTTTATAAGAAAACTCAATATTATTGCACCAATATTATTGTTCTTTAAGACAACATCCAAAAGGTAATGCTGCTTAAATGATCTAAAGCTAAACACTTTCCTAAAGAGTTTAGGCGAGACATCTTACAACATGTTGATCTCATAAGCCACTCCTCTTCACCTGTTTCCAAGAAACACTTTTGTTTTCTTAAAAGTAACTTATTGTTGCCAGTGTACTTCTCAACAAAGCCTTGTCACTTAATTATAAGTTTAGTGATTTTAGCACCTAAAATGTGTAAAGGTGCTGAAAATTTCTGCTTTCTGCAATCTTTGGATATTTATACCACACTTTTGTCCAGCTGAAAACAGTATGCAGCATCAGGAGGTCACTTGGAGCAATTTTAGTTTGTCGTCAACCCTTGTGCAGATTAAGTATACCCTAATATGTACTGCCGCAGTCTACGGAAGAGGATTAGGGCCAGTGAATTTTTTTTTTTTTTAAGTTAACTGATTGTTAAAAACAAGTCAGAATTATGACTTTTAATCTCAGAATTATGATTTTTAATCTCAGGGTTCTGACTTTTAATCTCAGGGTTCTGACTTTTAATCTCAGAATTATGACTTTTATTCTCAGAAATTTTACTTTTTTCTCAGAATTTTGGATCTTAATGTAGATGAAAACCATGAAGGAAGAGATGTGGGAGCACTCAGCTTCACTGACAAATATGTGAGTTGTTTGGAGGACACATTGGTGTCACTGGCACTAATCCTCTTCCCTAGCAGTCAGTTTACATGGCATAAAGAAGTGTTTATGGTTTGTTTACCTTGATCTGGTGACTGCCAGGAGCGCCTGGTGACTAAAGACCGCCATTGCAGAGTCAAATCACAGTGTTCTGATGAGGTTCACAAGGAGACAGAGAGCATACAGGGGTCAGATTACAGTCCATACATCCGTTGATAATACAATCTGACGAGAAATCAACAACTTCAGAGCCGTCATTCTGACAATAACGATCATAGATTACACATAATTCACATCTTTGTCATGTCATTAAACGCAATTGCGTCTTATAACATTTATTGACTGTATGCAACGTAAATATAACTACTAATATCTTTCTTTTGAGATTTTTGTCTAAATATTAAACAGTGAAAGCACTGCTACGTCGAAAACCGGCAACATCTTGGTAATTTTCCACTGACGTTCAGAAATACAATCAATGTAAACTTCCAACTCTAAACTAACTTCGCTTTACACTAGTACGTAGAAAGTAAGCTAAACTGGTGAACATAAATAGGAGAAAAATGTACATAATCCTATTTTTTTTTTTTTTAGAAAACCCGGATTACTCGATCATGCTAGCCACTACGTTAGCCGGTGTTTTGTCGTGTAAACATCCCCGTTCATATGAGGTGCAGGACGGCACCTGTTTTAACAAATGCATTAAATATCCGAAAAACGTTTTAAAATTGCTCTTGTATTTCACTTTATTTATGCGGGAAATGATCCAACATAACTTTCAATTGCCGAATTGTAAAACAGCTGTGGTTCATACGGCAAAACCAAGAGTGTTATGCTGAAAAATGCACCCCATCCCAGATTGTTGTTAGCTCATTAGCTTAGCTTTAGCCGACCATTGCTAATGGAGTCTACTAACCTCCAGCGTCACTGACCAGGCTATCGCTGCTACTGCTCGCAGGGCGTCGCAAGGCTTCTCGGTGAGACGTGGACGTTGTAATCCATCCAACACAGACTCTAGGTGAGGACAAATTTCGCGAAAGAAGCGTGTGTTGTATTGATAAACCCATTTACAATGGGTTTCTATGTTAAAACGTCTCCGTGCGCGTCGAGTTTCAGCTTCAGAGCTTTCGAGCAGATGCCTCTTCAGGCGACTGCAAGTAAAGGTCACGTGGATCACTCAGCAGGCGTAAATGTTTGTGCTGCGGAGCAAACGAAGAGCGTCTATTCTCACGAGAGAGATCACTCTGTAGTTTAAAAAAAATAATAATAAACGTATAGATCAGGGGTAACAATTTAAAAATCCGCGGGGTCCAAATAAAGAAAATCATCAATATATAGTTATAATCCGTTACTTTAAACAGAATTTAGTACAGAAATAAAATTTTTATGCATCCATGTTATACATTGACTTTTTAAATAAAAAAATAAATCTATATATACATATACACATTTTTCCATTTTTAAATCTAAAGTGTTTTTTGAAGTAGAGAACAACAATCTTCAAGTTTGGTATATAGACAATTTCCTGATTTACATGTTTTATAAAACACCTGAACTGACTGTTCTTTCTTTTTTCTGGCTTAATGCAGAGCAGTAGGCTTTAGGCTGCCCTGCAAGGCTTTAAACCTGGGTTTGAATGGAGACAAAGCCATTCTAAAGCACATATCAAGGTGCTCATTTTGAGCCTGGATTCCTATTTATTTTTGATTCTGTTCATGGTGGAGAATCCTGCTTCACAGCAGCAGGTTGAGCCAAACATACTCAAAATGTGCAGGGTCATCTTTGAGCACGCATTTCACTGTTCTCTCACCAGTTCACCACGTTACTACGGAAGAGGATTAGGGTCACTAAAAAAAGTGAACTGATTTTTAAATATTATTTCAGGTTAATATGGGGGGAAGAGTCAGAATTCTGACTTTAATCTCAGAATTCTAACTTTTTTTCTCAGAATTCTCACTTTAATCTCAGAATTTGGGATCTTAATGTAGATGGGTGCCATGAAGGAAGAGATGTGGGAGCACTCAGCTTCACTGACAACTGTGTTTGCTGTTTGGGAGGGCCAGTGACACATTGGTGAAAAATTACGGAATTAGGCGACTTTTTACGTGCCCAAGGGATCCCCAGTGATGCCATTTCATTAATGGAAGAGTAGAAGGTCATTATAACAAGAGAGCTAGTTTGGTCTCTAAAACAGACAGGGCTACGGCTTGATGCTAACATGTTTGTTAGCTGTCAGAAATCTGAGAAAAAAGTAAGAATTCTGAGATTAAAGTCGGAATTCTGACTTTAATCTCAGAATTCTGACTTTTTTTCCCCATATTAAACCGAAAAATAAAATGTAAAAATCAGTTAACTTTTTTTTTCATTTTTTCAATGGCCCTAATCCTCTTCCGTACACTTCTTCCAGCAGTCTACACAGTCTTTCACGTTTTCTCATCATCGTTAACCAATGCCCGGCTTGCCACAGGTTTGCCTGCTGTGTCTAAAAGTCGCCAGCGGCAGCAACCCAGACTGACACAACTCATTGGCTAATATGCATCACATGTAGCCTGGTCCTGGAGGGCTTTACCGTACAAATAGGAGAAACGGCACAAGTGAAGTTAGACACTGCTGTCTGACAACATTCTGTAATTTCTAAATGTTTTAAATCAGGTTGGGTCCGGAATAGCCAGCAAGTGGGTCCACTAATCCGTGATCTCTGGTATAAATAATGAATTGTGCAGACAATAGCTTCCTAAACAAAGATAATCAACTCAAATGAGAGTAAATGTGAAGAAAACATTTAGGTTTTGAAGACATGGAGCCAGTAATCGAAACTGAACAGCACGTTAATTATTAAGATTAATGTAGGCGTAAGACGGTAGATGCTTATAAATGATGTTGATTTTGTGCCGTGATTTTTATCTTCACTCTTCCAATGAGGACCTTACAAGGTTATGTTCTAAGTCCACTTCTGTTTTCATAGTAGTGGCTTGCCTTTTGCAGACAATTATATAAAAACAACTTTTATTTTGTCTAAATCAGGGCACGGTTTTTCTATAAAGTACATTACTGACAGCTCTGCTCATCTTAGTGGCTTGAATCAGAAAAGTTATGTAGTTAAGTAGTTAAGACTAGGCTCTACGCAGATGAATACAGAGTCCTTTTTTAGTCTTTTATTTCACCCCTCTGAGCTGATTGAAAAGCCAATCAGAGATGCTGCTGCAAATGTAAGCTTTGTATTTCTGTGTCTTCCTGCTTTTATATCTTATAACCAATAATGCACTATTAAATGCTTTTAGTATGCTTGTTGTTTTTATTAAGCAGACCTAACATAATAAACAACACTGCCCTCCTCCCCCTACAGCCCCCCATCTGCAAGATGTTTTGGCCAAGTATAGGAAGTCAATTTCTCATTTAATACTCAACAATCTTCAAATCAGTGATAAGAACTTTATTTTTTCCCTACTACAAAAAGAGATAAAAACTATCCAAAAAAACAAAAAAACAAAACACACAGTTCACTATAATTTTAAGGAGAAAAAAAAGAAAAAGGAAAAATTGACACAAGTAATTGGAATGCCAGCAAGGAACAAAAAGCAAATGTATTTTTGACGACTAGAAGTTGAAAGAATACCATTCAAGACAATTAAAAGAAATGAATGGACAATTTAAAAGCCTCTACAAACATATGCAAAATACTCTATAATATGGCAAGAATATGAGACATGCAAACACAAACACAACAAATTAGACCAATACACAAAACACATGGAAAGAAATGCATTTTGCAAAAGATTTTTTTTTCTTCCTGCAATCTATTATTGCAGCAACGAAAAAACGAGCTGCAAATACATATGTGGGCTACAACCATAAAATGAGGTAGAAACATGTAAATAATCAATAGAAAACACATGTAAAGGAAAAACGGTGGAATTAACCAAAACAATTTAACCTGCAATATGTTTTCTCTCTGTTTTCACAAACACATGAGAAATAATCTTGTCCCACGAACAGTTCTAGGCCGACCCAAAATTGGTCAGCTAATCATGTTGCAGTATTACAGTTTAAGGAAGGACATATAGGTGAGCTGCTGCTCCCACGGTTGAGCCTAAATAATTATGCCCATGCAGGAGGACTTACTTGTAGTTGCTGCTGCCAGAATGACAGAATCCATGATTACATGTTTGAAAGAGGAACAGCAAGACCATAAAAGTTTTAGTTGTCAGCAGCTATTTTTAATTCTTACCATGATTGGCTAAAACCAAATTTTGTTAGGCATCTTTTTTGAATGTTTTTAATTTTGTCTTTTCCAGATTTCTCCCACAATTGTGAATTTGTTTCATTATATAAATAAATATTGAATAAATAGATGATATGATCAGTTATTTAATATTGAAGTAAAGTTTTTTCCAAATACTTTTCTTAATAATTGATGCATTTCTTTCATTATGTAGTTTTTGAACCACTAAGCATGTGCATATGTCCTCCAGTATGCTGCATGTCTTCCCATAAAATATAACTAATCATGGTGGGTGGCCACAACCAATGATGCCCAGGCTCTTTTTTTAGACACAGGCCAGTCCTGATTCTGCTGAATGTCCCGTCTTTGCCCAAACATATTCAATCAGAGCAGTCCCAAATTGATGATGTGTGGTGACATTTGGACATAACATAAGTGCCCCAGGCTCCAGAGCACTAGGGGAAGATGATCATTCACTCATATAGGAGACAGTAAAGACATTAAGTGGTTGAAAAAGACAAAAACAAAAGCTTAACTTTTTCTTTCTCTCCTCTATCTTTGCAAAGGGTTGGGTCAGGACAGATATATTATACTAGTGCCTGGTCATGTGTTCAAAATCATCTCCCCTTTGTGGTCTAGAGCATGTCATCAATCATCAGGATCAATCATCTTTGCAGCTGGTTTGCACTGTGCTGATCTTTATTTTCTATGATTGCAGCATTTTGCCTTAGCATGTGTTTTGTGTGTAAGTTGAATTTTTGTGTATGCAGTACTTTTTTGTCTTTTCTTCAAAATTAAGAACTTGTAATGCATTTGCATGCATTTGACACTGAGTGCAAATGCACTGAATGCCACACTGACAAAGATGTTACAGAACATCTTTGTCAGCACCATTCCAAATGATCAGAGATCATTTCTTTTCTGTATTATGGCGAATTTGACAATGTACTTACACGTGCCCAAAACTGTCTCTAAAGTTAAAAAACACTGGATGGGAGCAGAATCTGGCATATTTATTTGATGAGACCAGGATGGGCCACTTAGTTGATGGTAATAAAATCTATTTATTTCTTTTTTTTTCATATTTCCAGAGCTTTGTTGCATCTCATGGACAAATATTATCAGTTTTCTAATATTTACTCTAAATTAACTTAAAGTTACTTTACTTTAAGTCAAATTAAGTGCAATTAGAGAGAGATGGGATATGAAAAATAAGTTTTACTCCTTCATTGCCCTTTTAAGACAATTTACATTAATCAGTGTCATGTCTCTGGCTGATTTTGGCATACAGCTCATGAAAACCCAAAATTCCTATCTCACAAAATTAGCATTTTTCATCCGAAAAAGAAAAAGTGTTCCTAATACAAAAAAATTCAACTTTCAAATAATTATGTACAGTTATGCACTCAATACTTGGTCGGGAATCATTTTGCAGAAATGACTGCTTCAATGCGGCGTGGCAGGGAGGCAATCAGCCTGTGGCATTGCTGAGGTGTTATTGTGGCCCAGGATGGCGGCCTTTAGCTTATCCAGAGTGTTGGGTCTTGCGTCTCTCAACTTTCTCTTCACAATATGCCACTGATTCTCTATGGGGTTCAGGTCAGGAGAGTTGACAGGCCAATTGTTCAAAGTGATACCATGGTCAGTAAACCATTTACCAGTGGTTTTGGCACTGTGAGCAGGTGCCAGGTCAAGCTGAAAAATTTAATCTTCATCTCCATAAAGCTTTTCAGCAGATGGAAGCTAGAATTGCTCCAAAATCTCCTGATAGCTAGCTGCATTTACCCTGCCCTTAATAAAACACAGTGGACCAACACCAGTAGCTGACATGGCACCCCAGACCATCACTCACTGTGGGTACTTTACACTGGACTTCTGGCATTTCCTTCTCCCAGTCTTCCTCCAGACTCTGGCACCTTGATTTCCAAATGACATGCAAAACTGAGCAACAGTCCAGTGCTGCTTCTCTGTAGCCCAGGTCAGGTGCCTCTGCTGCTGTTTCTGGTTCAAAAGTGGCCTGACCTGGGGAATGCAGCACCTGTAGCCCATTTCCTGCACACGCCTGTGCACGGTGGCTCTTGATGTTTCTACTCCAGACTCAGTCCACTGCTTCCTCTGGTCCCCCTAGGTCTGGAATCGTCCGTTCTCCACAATCTTCCTCAGGGTCCGGTCACCTCTTCTCGTGCAGCGTTTTCTGTTCACTTTTTCCTCCCCACAGACTTCCCACTGAGATGCCTTGATACAGCACTCTGGGAACAGCCTATTCGTTCAGAAATATATTTCTGTGTCAAACCCTCTAGCTTGAGAGTTTCAGTGACGGCCTTCTGGACAGCAGTCAGTCGGCAGTCTTACCCGTGATTGGGGTTTCGAGTGATGAACCAGGCTGGGAGTTTTAAAGGCTGCAGGAATCTTTTGCAGGTGTTTAGAGTTAATTTGTTGATTCAGATGATTAGGTGCATAGCTCGTTTACAGACCTTTTTCATGATATGCTAATTTTGTGAGATGGGAATTGAGCTGCATGCCAAAATCATCTGTATTAAGACAATAAATGACCTGACATATTTCAGTTAGTGTGCAAAGAATCTAAAATATATGTTCAAGTTTTATCATTACATTATAGAAAATAATGAACTTTATCACAATATGCTAATATTTTGAGAAGGACCTGTATGTACTGTATATATATCTCATGCACCTTTTCTTCCCTTGGCACATTCTTCTTCTCCTTTAACTATTCGAGCTGATGTAACGAGTAAATTTCGCCACTGTGGGATTAGTAAAGTCAATCAATTAATTAATTAATTCATTCATTCATTCATTATGGGGGAAATCCATGAATACAAACTGTAAAGGTTGTGTCATATTTATATATTTATATTCTGAATAAATAAATTGTAGGTTTGACCAGTGATATTATTTATGACTTTATGGAGGGAAGGGTGAGGATGAGTATAAATCTGAGGGGTACGCCCCCCCTGTTCCCAGTGCTATCTGCGCCCATGCGCTTTTGTGAACCAAAAGGAAGAGGGAGCCAGAGATGAGCTAGAGAAGGCAGGAAGGGGCCACAATTGGACGCGTCTTGCTCTTAACTCCAAACAGGTTCTGGCTAAATGCTAAAAGATCTTCGCTTGCATCGTCGAAGAACCCCGAGCATCCGGATTGGACACCGACCAGAGAGCGTAACACCATCCCCCGCTCCCCACCACCTCCGTCACCATCATTTTCATCCCCTCCTCTTCTCTGTTGAGAATTGCGTTAAGAAGGAAAAGGCCTGATCTTTGTCAACATTACCGGATTAATATATATATATATATTTTATTTTTGGACTCCCTCTCCCTCCTTTAGATTAAGAGGAACCGTTGCAGGCTGGTGTATGTGTTTAGAATGGGACACGCTGAAGGTACTTGCATCTTTATTTCTTATTTCACCCGCATCTTTCGGCTATGCATCATAATCTGTGCTGCCCCCTTTTGCTCTTCCTCTGGAGTAACTAACGTGTTTAGCATGTGTGTGGAGGTTAGTTAGCTCCCCCGTCTTAGCCTACTGAGCGCTTTCGGCTTGTTTTCGGACACATTTTTTCGCTCCCAACCGCCAGTGATGGAGGTTTAATCACGGCAGACAATTTGATTTAAAGGGGCACAGGCAGCCATATTAGGATTCCAGCGTTAGCCAACATTAGCATCTTCTTTCATGTTAGCCCCGCATTATTGAACAACAGGGGGCACCTAGCTGTGTGGGTCCGACTATTAATTAGCCTACAGTGGTTTTACATTCAGATTTTTTATCTCCGCAAACCCCAAACATCCTCTTATTTTAGATTTTTAATGCCAAGTAGCCTGATGCTAACATCGGAAGCTACAACCTCATTCAGGGAAATATATTTTTTTCTTCTTGTCTTTACTTTCGCTTCAATATAACATCGACACATTTGTCTCCAGATTTTATTATTTACTACATCGTTTATGGACGAAATTTATCCTCTTAATCGATGTCGGTGGCTTTTTGACCCCTAATCGACACCGTATGGATGTTTACATTATTTACCTTTCTGCTGCTGAGTAGCCTGACTGTGTCCACACGTCCAGTCCCATTGAGTGGATCAGTTCACTTTACACTTTTAAACCTGATTTATCGACCATCGCAGATATTACTTGTGTCAAAATCAACCGAGAGGAGCAGCTCTTTGTTTTGTTAGTAAAAGCTGGCTACCATGTGTTCGTGTTAATGTGACTAAAATCACAAATAAACAAGCTGCCAATAATCGATGCATTATGCTTTGAATTTAATTTAACATTTTGTATAAGAATGCAATGCTTTGATTGACAGAATTACCTGTAATTGTTTGTAGGCATCTATCACCCTCTCTTTTCTTATGGATGTCAGGCTTTTAGTATGTATGCATTACATTGCATTGTATCTTCAAATATTAATATATCCTAAAATTTCTCAATGGATTCTATTTTCCCATTCAACTTTAAATAAAAGAAGATGATTGTCCCTTTTTAACGCATCGAGATGTGTGTTACCAGTTGGGATCTGGTTGTTTCCTCCTCTTGGCTGTTTCAATCTTTTGCAGCTATGGTGGTCTTCTTGCCTACTTTTTCCAGATATAAATCAGAGCTGTCTGCAAGAGGACATTTCGTACCAACCAAGCATCAATTAATTAATTTGTGACTCAACTTATCATTTATAGTTTATTTACATTGGAAAAACGTTTTTTTTTTACGCTAAGAAATTAAGTATCATGAAGCATCATGTTGGTACTAAAAAAACAACAGTTATAGCCTTTAAAACCTTCCAAAATATGCATTAGATCTGGAGATTTTATAAATGTTTTATTATTTGAAATGCTTTGTTTTGGAAATAGCTTGACCTGCTTTTGTCTGCTGCTGCTACTTGTACTGAATTGACATGCTCCTTTTCTTTGTCTCATTGGACTAGAATGGAATAGAATAGAACTTTATTGATTTCACAATGGAAAAATTCACTTGTGACATCGGCTCATATAAACAGCAGAAGGTGCACAAAGGAGGAAAAGGTGCATGAAGTATATACAATGCATCCAGACATAGAGTGGATGGTAAAAAAATAAAAGAGTAAAAAATAAAGAAGAGATTTAAGGTTATCTATATATACAGTATCTTATGTATAGTAAAGTGGTTGCAGATAAACTGCATTTTCTGAGGCTTTATAGAGATGCACCAATCAGACTCTCACTGGCCGATACCAATTCATGTTTTTCTATGAAGCCTGACCAGTTTGATTTTTGACAGATTCAGATTTTTCGGTCAGCAAACTTTGAAAGAGAAAATGTACTGTAGATTCAGTGATGTAAGGTTGTTGAATGAAACAAAACAAACAAATGCCTAAACGAGCAAATTTCATCTCTGTCATCTATCTATCTATATATCTATATGGTTTATGCATCACTGGTTCTTGCAGAGATTCAGATAAACACAATAACACACCAGTCTGTCGGTGTTTTGATGATTGTTGGAGTTTGAAATGACATCACATCCATGTTTCGTTGTTGGTCTACAGATTAACTACTGCTAGTAACACAGTAATTCACTTCATTTTGTGTTCAGACCCAAAGGAACATTATATGCTGCTGGTTTATTCACACAACTGTCTTTAACGTATGTTCAGTACCCAGCTTTACTGGGGTACTGGGCTGTTTGGCAACCTCTGACCTTCCCAGCTGGAATTTTTACTTCATGGGACATTCTTTCATTCTCTAACTGGGGGAAAAAATGTGCCAAGTACCACCACAGGTCATTTTGGTTGTCTGCATTTGGCGTTATTGAGTTTAAGTTTTATAGCTGCCCATTACTGTAAACCCCTTTTCCCATTGGAGGTCATTGTTTCACATTTGCCAACTGCTGCATGGATTCAGTATTTAGTAAGCTAATAAATTTAATGTGATCATTTTTTTTTTGCATTTTAATAATGTTTTTTTATAGTTTGATAGTATTTCTTTGTACTTGAGACCCATACCTTATACATATAGTGACAGAGGGGTTCAGGTGGAGATAATGTCTCTTCAACAACAATATTTGCTCAATTTAGGACACGGGATCTTTCAGGCATTACCTGTAACAGCAATTAAAATTTTCCATGTCAATATCTTCCTGGATAAAAGTTGTGGGTGATGGAGCTGGGGCAGTATTGAAGCTCATAGTTTAAACTGAATTGCAATAGTAAGAGAGAGAAGCACATGTGTGACATTAGTTTGATATGTGTCAAAATGTGACCCAAAATAAACGTTTACATGTTTTTAGGTTTCTGTTCCAGCTGCGGTAACGGCCATCTCACCCTGAACAGCTGTTTGCCAACTAAGTATTGAAAACTCTATAACTGGAGACAATACCAGTGTTACAAAACATTCTGTGACCCATCAAATATTGAGACTAAAGAGCATGCAGTTGGGAACTTGTCTAAACACTCTGCTGTCTACTAACCTTAATTAAACCTGATTTAAACCTAAAACTAAAGAAGTCTATGTTGAAATACAGATTGCACCACATAGGGTCACACTATATGACCGGTCTCAGAATACGGTAGAACACGAACACATTGAATTCCTCAAACTCCTGTAGACTTTAATTATGGGTCAAAGTTAAATTCAGCTGAATTTAACTTAGTCTCTTGTGTCTCAGTCTCCACCCACACAAAGACAAGCTCAAATCTAATTTCAAAAATACTTAATCACACCTCTGTATCATCCACACACAGCTAGGGTAATGGAACATTTTTAAAACTAGGTCCAACGAATGAGAACATTTCCAAACTGTTTATGCTTTTCCTCCGCTTACTGCCTCCCCATATCTTTGTGCGATTGCTGCACCTCTATACAGACACGCATGCGTTACACTCAGAAAATAACAACAATGGTGCTGTACAGTGTTGTGTGCATGCTTTGTTTTTTCCCCAGCTTGTTTCCCTCAAGCCACTCATAATTCAAGAGTTTTTTATGTGCATTGCATCCATTCATGTCAATGCTTTGGAAGTGGCAGGGACTAACAACGGAGACACTGGCTCAATCCGATTATCGCAAATTAGGAAGGAAATTTAAGCCAAAGCAGTCGTTTGTCAGCTGTCACCATAAGTGCTTTCCAAATAGAGCTAGCAGCAAGGAAGGAGGTAAGAAGATGAAGCAAGATGCTTCTTAACATAGTTCAGTTAGCATGAGGTCCTACCAACGTTGCTATCTGCTGCTTAGCGGTTTCCGTTTCCCGCAATCCTTTACATGAAATGTTAGCACCACTTATGCCTATGCAAGCATGCCATTTAACAAGAATACAATATTTTTTCCCTGTACTCCGTTGCACATGCAAATGTTCACCCTTTCATACACTGCCTGGCCAAAAAAAAAGTCGCCACCTGGATTCAACTAAGCAAATAGGTACAAGCCTCCTATTGGATAATTACTGGGTGGGTGATTATCTTTCAGCTGGCAACAAGTTATTTAACCCCAACTGGTGCAATGACTTGCTTCTCATTTCCTAAACAATCATGTCGAAAGACGCATCCCGTGGTCGTGGAAAAGATGTTAGTCTGTTTGAGAAGGGTCAAATTATTGGCATGCATCAAGCAGAGAAAACATCTAAAGAGATTGCAGAAACTACTAAAATTGGGTTAAGAACTGTCCAATGCATTATTAAAAACTGGAAGGATAGTGGGGACCCATCATCTTCAAGGAAGAAATGTGGCCGGAAAAAAATCCTGAATGATCGTTTTGGCTTTATGACGGAGAGCTTCAGCATCATCCATGTATTTTTGTGTCCTGTAATGCAGTCCAGAAGGACTAAAAGGCAGATTATACTTCTGCAAACACACACATCAAATGTCGCTTGAGTCTGTTGGTCTGGAATTTCTAGGGACGCACAGCAGTTTCCCGCCAAAGTGCAAAGGGGAGCCTGTTCGAGAACTCATGAGAACTTTGGCGCATGGTCACAAGAACTTTGGAGGTGCTGGTGGGAGTGTTTATTTTCCAAAACAACAATGGCTCATCTGCAAGATATCACGGAGATGGATTTAGAGTTGCTAGTCATCCAAGAGGACCAGGTTCTGTTAATGGAGTTGGCAAAAAGACTGATTAACCTTGCGTCTTAGTTGTCCAACGTAGTTGTTCCTCAGTTTTTAAGACAGTCACCCGGAAAGGCATACCAAGGACCGATCACAGCTGCTTTTTGTCTGCGCACTTCCGCTTGAGGTCTGCGCATGTTTGCAACCGTCTGACGCGTGGTCGGGATTTTTTTAAGTGCGCGGCGACGACAGATTTAACGGTTGCCGAGGCTGTGCGTCAGAAGCATAAATTGGCCTTAAAGCTGCCTGTATTCAGCAAAGCAGTCCCAAGGTTCTTTCCATGATGCTGTTCTTACTATTACTGAATGTTGAACGATTTTGCTAAAATTCTAAATTGCGATTATTTTCCACCACTTTTGTGTTTCCAGTTTTATTATGATTTTCTGTTGCACTAACCACAGACATGCAGATATTTCAGTTTTTGAAAGTTTGCTTTTTCAGAGTCCATCCGTTGTTGCAGGACTTCACTGTAACATCTGGTTCTTATTTCTACTATCATGCAAAGATCAGCAAACTCTCTTCCTCTGTGTGTCGGCAAACCCACTTTCATTTAACTAACGCCACCTAAAGAGCTGCAGGGAGATATTTATAGTCTTTCTCTTTTTTAATGTAATATGACTAAAATTTAGTGAAAATTTATTATTGATTTCATGAAAGATGAAGGAACAGGAGGCATGAGCTGCAGTTTGTCCAATTTGGGAATAGCCAGAAAACCCAAAGTCTTAAGGAGTCTGAAAGGCTCTAAATACAGCGAAAATTTCGATAAGTTGACAGGCGTTACACTGTTGTCTCTAGATTTTCCTGAAACCAGAGCGCAGAACTCTATTCAGTTTCAGAGCCAGACAGGAAGGAAATAATGAAGTTGGTTTTTCAAAATAAATTGAAATGTTTCATAATTTTATACTTAACTTCAAACTCTGAATATGGTTAAAGTTTGGAATTACAAGGTGTACATTTGTATAGGGCTGAAACAATTAATCGGATTAATAGATTATCGAAATAATTGCAAACTAATTTAGTAATCGATTAATCATTAACTGGAGAATAGAAACTGTAAAACATGAATTTAGCTGACAGGGCGACCCTCTTACAGCAGCAATTATACCAAAACTGTAAAAAAAAAAAAAAAATTGCATATTAAGATAAAACAAATCTTTTCTTCTGTCAACATGGTCTATCCACAACTCCTTAAGTGAAAAAGTTTTATCTTCACCTGGTTTGAATTCGTAAAAAGTCTTCTTTTAAAAATCTTTGGCTATCTGATTATTAATCGTTTAATCAAAAAAGTAATGGAAAGATTAATCAATTTGCAAATAATGTTTAGTTGCAGCCTTACATTTTCATTAACTACTCTATATCTCATATGATTTATTCTGAAGGTGTGACATTTTATTTTGACATGGTAGTAATTATATGTAGAAGAGACCCTGACAGCCATCTTTACTTCATATTTTTTCAAAGTACATATACTTAAATGTGAATTTAATGGAGTTAAGCTTTTGAAAAAACTATTGTACATTAAAAAATAAATAACAATTGCCTTAGTAAAGTTACAAGTAATGCTGTTACTATCTAACTTGATCTGCTGCTATCCTATCAACACTGGGAATTTTTAACTCGCTTACTTCGAGAACTATCTATTGGTAAATGGCTAAAAGTTAAATTAATACTTGGGCAATGTTAGAAAAGGAAATATTTTTATAAGTGTCGGGGGGTGTGGAGCGATATCATCTATCAATTAACATCACTGATGTAGATAGATGTTCTTGTTGATTTATCCAATTTCTAACTTATTATTTCTGACTTTTTGGGTAACAAAAGGATCACAAATACTTGAATACTTTTCAAGCACAACAAATTAGCTTTAAAATATAAGTGGCACAACAAATAAGTAGAGATGCATTATAAAGTTATTACAAACCAATACTGATTTCACATTTAGCCAGTTTAATTTATTTCTAAGGACATGTAAAAACCTATACTTGCTCACTTCTTTCCTTATATTCTTTCATCAGTACAACAACCTGAAACTCCACCAAAGGCGGTGAGAATTTACCCACCGGGTCAAATATTTTAATTTCCCTGCATGACACTTTAGCAAATATGTTTCCAAAAATTATTTTGCTGTAGGGATTTTGGACCCATATTTCAAAGACTATTGTAAATCTAAAACTTAGCCCTAAATGCAACAGATATCCAGGATTAAAGGAAATGTGGGTTGAAAGTTTCTTGGTAGAGAAGTTTTTTTTTTTTTTTTTAATCCAGCAAAAAAATAAGAATTAGTTTTTTTCCATCTGTGCATCAAGGATTATCTCTCTAGCCTTTCTGATCATTTTGGAAACCTGAGCTAAAACTTGGACAAAATACGCTGCTTGAACAAGTGTCTAGAAACACTGATTCACTGTTCCAAAGGTCCTGATGTTCACAGCTTTTAAAGATCAGGACCATAACTTAAAAGCTTAAAAAGGATGTTGGAAATACAATGTCCTCAGAAGGGATTCCTCTGTCTGAGAACCTACAGCATATTTTCCTCCTGCTCCATCATTAAAGGATTATTGGCCTTTGAGTTTTAGTTGATCAGACACACAGTAGCTGGTTTCTGTTACACAATGGAAATAAATTAGATTCGTCTTTTAATTGCATCATATGACCCCAATGTGCGTCAAAATGTTTAGGGGTTTTTTTTGTGTGTAATGTGTAGATTAATGTTAAAATGGTATAAGAATAGAGAAGCTGGATCTCTCAGAACGTGAATGGGTGCTGATAATAGCAATGTTAAGATGCTCTTGTGAAGGATGCATGTAATACAATTTGAGATAATTAAAAAAACAAACTGTTTTAAGAGATCAAAGTCTTAATGTTTTTTGTATCTTTGTTCACAGGTCCAGTCAAAGAAAAAGACAGTTAAGGATGCAGGAGCCCAACAATGGATTTCTCCTTCTCTTTCATGCAAGGGATCATGGGAAATACAATTCAGCAACCCCCTCAGCTCATTGACTCAGCTAACATCAGACAGGACGGCTCCTGCGACACCGGCAGTGACCCGGGTGAAGATAGCGGTCCCTCTTACGATGCTGCCCTGGATGCAGAGTTTTCCTATCCGCCATCAGCCTCGGAGGACATGCCACAGGTCCCGAATGGCTTCCCCCCTGGTCTGGGCATTTACGAGCCCCAGCCTAAGTTCTCCATGTACTCACAGTTCCCCAATGGCTCGGCTAATGGCTACGGAGCGATACGGAGCTACGGGGAACACGGCCTCCTGCCGGTGGAAGGAACCGTCCTGAGAGGACCTGGTCTCAATGACAGACCTCTGTCTCCTGTGTCTCCCCCACTGCCCATACATCATCCACACCTCCACCACCATCCCCCCCACCACCACCACGCACATCCCTTCCACTCGAACCCACCTCACATACAGACCCACTCACACCGACATAGTCCTCCCCCACCACCGCTGCCCGCCCAGCACCAACTGTCCCAGACGCCTCACATCATTAGCCACAACCTACCACCCTCTCAGTTGCTACACCTGCCTTCCTCCAGTCCTCCGCCCTCCCTAGTGGACAGTACTCCATCTCAGCCAGCGCTTGCTCCATCCAACACCCCAGGTGGGGTCCTGAAGAAAACCAGCTCTCCAGAGATCAAGCTGAAGATCATTAAGACTTATCAGAATGGAAAAGAGTTGTTTGAGTCTGCGCTGTGTGGGGATCTGCTGCAGGAGCTGCAGGTAAAACATAATTTATATATATATATATATATATATATATATATATATATATATATATATATATATATTTTTTTTTTTTTTTAATTAGGGTTGTCACAATATTTTTTTACAATAACATTTTTGTTACCAGGGGAATAAAAACAAAGACCCCAAAATTTAACAGAAATATTTTTATTAATAAATAAAATACCCTAAATATATACAATAAACAATGAGAACTACATTTTGAGGTTGTATGCTTTGCATAATATTAAGCAAGCATGATAAAAAAAATAACAAAATTAACTTAAGTGTTCCTTCCTTGGCTATGCTTTACACACATAACAATGACACTAGCCAAACCAGTTAACAAACAAAAATAAATGCTGTATTCTCAGCAGCTGCATCTGTTAAAAAAATGAATCAGAAACTGCAAAGTGCACAGAATTATTCAATCACACATTGTTTAGAAAGTGCATTTCCCTCTATTCTGCACTCTAGATGAATGACAGTTTAGGTTCCACTGGTGGTAGGACTGGCCTCAATCTGCTTTTATTTTCATAGCTGGATGGTAGAGTCGGCTGTGTTTGATGGTGTTTGCACGCAGGTCTACTTCTCTTTGCTTTATTCTGTGACTTGAAGAGAGAAAATCACACTTTTCAGTCACCAACATTTATGTAAACGTATTAACTCTATGCTTATGTATACTGACACATGTATAGTGTAATATGGGGATACTTCGTCCCTGATTTATGTACTTACGTTGTTTATGATCATTAACGTGACGTTAGCCTTGAATTGCTAGCTGGGGCTAATGGTGGTATTGATATATTGAGGCTGAAACAGTTGATCTGATTAGTCGATTATGGAATAATCATCAACTGGTTTAGTAATCGTTAACTGCAGTATAGAGACAAACAGAACCTCAGCACATAGAGCAAATCACTTGGAGAAGTAATTATACAAAATAATAAAAAGAAATATGTTGACCTTTTGCATTTAAGGTAAAAAAAAATAATAAAAAATCGTCTTTCAATGTGCTCTATCCAGAACTCATAAAGTGGAAAAGTTCTAGATTCACCTGTTTTCGTTTTATAAAAAAAAATTCTTTTTAAAAGATTTCGCATGACTAAGGTCTCTTTGTTACCTATTTTCTAACCTATCAAAGGTTATTATCACAGATTAGGCAATACATGCAAAGCATATCTTATTACATTTTTATTGCCCTATTGGTAGGGCATTGGCTGACAATATAATAAAGGCTACTTTAATGCCTTATTAAAATTTCACTGTCACCCTACATGGTGTCAGTTAAATGGCCTTTAGCTCATCCTGTGACTCACACCTGATGTAGAGTTTAGTTTCTGAGACGGTGAAACCGGTGGACTGTAGTTTGGACATTTTGTTTTGCTAATGATATGCAGCTTCTAACCTAAGGTTGATCATGTGTAGCATTCAGGTGTAGTTCTACATGTCGTTATGCATCATTACACACAAATCTGTTATGCAGAACTTTTGGAGCTGATTAGGCAAAGCGACACCTGGTGCTCACCTACCAAAGTTTGGGTTGAGCCAATCACAGTAACAAAGGAAATAGCAGAAGACGGCATGAGAAACCACGGTGACAGAGGTGTAGGATGTAAGAATTCATCCTGCAGCCTGAGGGTTAACATAAGCTCTGTCTGTAAGAGTGTCCTCCGTAGATGGTCACCTGTGTATGGCAGCCTTGCTTCTGTCCGTTTTTGGTTACAAGCTATCATCTTATGGAGTGATATTTTGTTGAAAGCAAAGAACTCATTTTGTTAATGGAAATATAAATAAAAAAGCAACCAGATATAGATGCATATATTTGAAGCCTCAATAGAATGCCTGCTCTGGACCAATGAAAATGTTCATGCATGCAGACAGTCTTCACTCCAGAGGAAAGCCCCCCACAGAACAGGAAGAGACTGGGATCTTTAAAATGTAATTTGAAGAGAATGCAATTCCTAAAACACAACCTGAAAATGAGAAATTAGGAGAAAGCATTTTTTCAAATATAAAATCGTTAAAAAAAACCCAAAAAATAAACACATTTTTGATTCAGCTGTTCCTTTTCTGGATTACTTTTTTTTAAAATATTCATTTACAAAATGTACTATTTGATTGAAACAATAATGGAACATTATTCACTTTGAATGGGTGAATTACTGAATGAAGTGTAAAGTTCTTTGGAGTTTCCTAAATTGAAAAGGCGCTACATAACGGGCCATTTGCAATTTTTCACAGCAGCAGCTACACATATGTCCTCCTGAGCTGCCATGTTTGTTTTAAATTGGTTGAAGGCTCGGCATCTCTTGCTTTTTTCACAGCTTTATGTCCCGTCTTAAACTGTAATACTGCAGCATTATTGGCTGACCCTTCTATGGCCTTTTTGAAATGATTAAAACGAGTACAGGAGAAGATGGATTCTCGTGTGCTTGTAACTCACAAATACTATGAGAATTCAGCTTTCAGGCAGTGTCACTACCCAATCCGTCCCGGAAGCACGATTCATTCTGCGCATGCGAGAATAGATGTACATCCGGGTGTCCATAAATACTGTAATTATGGTACTAAAACTACTTATTTCTATCCTTAACTCACCAAAGAATGCTAATACACATCTTTAAAAAAATGTTTTATGAATTTTGTGAGACAATTTTTATGCTTTTAACATTTTTTTTTTTCATTAAAGTGCTTCTCTGAAGTCATCATCAGACATGCTCAGAGCAGTCTGGCAAAATATTATTAAACCATGTTTATCTGCATTTTAGTTGTTTCTTTCTTTAGATTATGCACTATATATAATAAGGCTAAAACGAAACGTAAACATAAAACTCAAAAAGACTAGATTTATGGTTAAATCCAAAGCTAAAAAAGATAGCCACTGAAAGTAGCGTAGGATCCCATTTCCGGTGCAGATCAGGCAGAGGCAAGTGATAAAGCAGAAAGGATTTTAAGGCATTCATTTTCTCAGGAAATACATTATTAACCTTTAACACATTATATTTTAGTACGTTTACTATTTTTGGGGAGGGAAAACATCATTTAGGTATTTTTAACTAAATAAAATAGAGGACGACCCGGATGTATATCTGGATGCGCACAAATGAGCTGATAGCTCATGCGCAGAACGGATCGTGCTTCCGGGACGGATCGGGTAGAGACAGGCAGGGTTATGCAGCTCCAGCTATTAGCAAATCTGATCTAAAGGGGGGAAAAGGTTATGGTGTCAAAACAGTGATGATGTTTAAAGTGGTGACGAACAAAAAACAAACAAAACAAAGAAGAAACACCTTATTGATTTACTAAGAGACAATAAAATGTCATTAAAATGGGGCTTGAAAAGCACATATGATTATTGCAGTGCATGGTGAGCTAAAGTCACCATTCCCCCCTTTTTTTTTCTTTTTTTTTTTTAACATTTTTGGTGTGTTTAATGCGTAGTAAGGAAAAGACAAGGTAAGAGCAGTTGCAAAGATTCTCTATCTTGAAAAACTTTCTACAACCAGTAGAACTAATCCATATGAGCGTGATAACTGAACAGAGGATTTATACGACCTGCCGCCATTCTCAGATGCTGAGCTTATTTTCTATCTTTTCAGTAGAGTATACAGATTTTTTTATGTTAAGAAAGCAGTAGCAGTATCAGGGGGGGGAAAAAACTTAATCAAAATAGCTGCTGTTTAATATCAGAAATGAAAAAAGCTCTTCTATAAAATAATTCATCATTGCTCTAACACACTTGAAGGAATGTGAAGTTTGTTGTCCAGAGTGGATGGATGATGTAAACATACAAATCTGAGAAATGGTACTAAATGATTGTGGCTGAACTGGTGGTCCTGTAAAGCACTGAGATCTTCATTGTTTGAAAATCTAATAAATCTGGAACCACCTGGACCCTACCTGAATCTAATGACACTGACTAATCGCGGATCAGGAACCCGAGGAATCATGTTTTAGAGTTAAATCTGTCTAGAAGCTCGACTACGGCTTGTGCATCTGTGGTATTGAGGCTAGAAGGACATGGCTCCTAGTTTAAGTGTCACTCAGCCTTTTTTTGCATTTAAACGAGGTCTATGGGGTGGTATTTTCTGATTGCAAAACAAGTTTTCATCCTTAAATTAAAGTGTCATGTCTTGAGAAAATCAGGCGCTGCTTATCACTGACCGCAATGAGTTGTGAGATTCTTGTAAAGTAGCTGGTTTGCGGAAAGAGTTGGATAACAGTCAGATGTAGAGAGGACCTTGTTGACAACCTGCTAGAGTTCAGTGCAACTCAAACAGTTGTGACGATTCTTCAAGCGGATATTGATCTATGGGTATGGACACTTACAACACTTATAAATCTTTACCCTTTTTTATAGATTTACCAAAATGCGTCTAAAAACATTGTGCATGCTCTTGCTCAGAACCCCAAAGCTCTTTCCAATATATTCAGTCTGTTTTTTTCTTTCGATGGTGATGCTGTTTTTTTGGTGGTATTTATTTTTTTTCAGATATAATGATATTAAAGAAAAACACATATGTTGTCATCATTACTTTCCGTCTCATCTTCAGGAGTCTCAGAAGACCGAGGCCAATCAGATTCAACGCAGACACGAGAGGAAGAAGGAGAAGAGGAAAAAGAGCGCAAGGCTGCAGATTCAGCATCAGCAAACTATTCAGGAGAGCCTAGAGCAAGCCGGTACCACGGCTCAGATGGAGGAGACCCACATCCAGCCGCAGCCAAGAGAACTGCGGCCTCAGAGTGAGCCGCTGCCGACACCGCCGCCGGTCCATATGGAGATGCCTCAGAGGACCGTTATTAAAACTGAACCGAAAACACCAAAGGTATGAGAGAGCTGGGCTTTCATTTCCAATCGCCATATGTTTGGTCAGAACCAGACCAGTAACTAGTTCATCTACGCCTTTAGGTTCCTAAAGTCCATCATCCATCAGTGATCCAGGAGACGGGGTTCTGTAAGGAGTTTGTGATTGGAGATCTGGTGTGGTCCAAGGTGGGCACCTATCCCTGGTGGCCCTGCATGGTATCCTCAGACCCACAGATGAAGGTCCACACTCGCATTAACACCAGAGGTAGGAACTATTGACTGCACAATCGTCTCCATCTGTGTTTTCAATGCTTAAGCTTGTAACTCCTCTTGTCAACAGGACATAGGGAATATCATGTCCAATTCTTCGGCAGCGTTGCAGAGCGAGCCTGGATCCATGAGAAAAGGATAGTCACATACCAAGGGAAGCAGCAGTTTGATGAGCTTCAGGCCGAGACGCTGCGCAAAGCCACAAACCCTGTGGAGAGGCAAAAAGTATGTCTTTTTAGAAGGATTATGTTATTATTTCATCAGTATATTAACATGAAGGGGAGGCATTCAAGCCCGGATGGATACCTTTAAAATCACAGGTTTGCAAAGTCTTTACATCCTTGAAATCATTTAAAGGAGGACTTTATAAAAATCTGAACCTAAATTAAAGATAATCGCTATGATATCAATGTTTCCAGTAGGGCTCGACGATTTTGCCAGACATTAAAATTGAGATTAATTTCAACAAAAACTGCGATTTTATTTCAGTTTTTTTTTTGCACTGGCTCCAATGTTTCACCTATGGCTTTCAGTTTTTGAAAACTTTTTTCCAGAGTCCATTGCTGCAGGATTTAACTTTAACCTTTGAGTGAAATAAATGCTTACTTCTACTAGCATGCTTTGATCAGTGTGCTAGCTGCAACACTCTCTACCTTTCTCTGTGGCTGTAAACCCACTTTATGCGTTTTACTGCCACCCAAAGGGCTGGAGGGAGAAATATAGTGTCTTACTCTTGCTAACTGTAATTTGACTACAATTGAGTAGCTCTGCGATTTGAAAATAAGGTTTTGTTAAATTATGATTATATTGCAAATAAAATTAATTATCCAACCCTAGTTCACTGTGTTGTTTAGTTTAAAGACAATATTTTTATGCTTCCTATTATACTGAAGGAAATCATTATATCATGACTAAGGTTAAACCAGAAAAGGGGTGGGACAAAAATTAAGTGTAAACTTCCAAACACTGTTTTTTTTTAACATGTACTTTTATGATGAAGATGTAGTAATTTACCATGTTGGTTCAGGAGCCTTATGTCTGAAAAGACTACCTGCTCCATATTTTTTCCACTTGTGCTAAATAAACAATTAGAAATATTACTCAAATGTGATTTAAAATGCTAGATCTTGACAGGAGGTTTGGCCTAGTTTCCTCTGTTTGACTGTTGTAGAAGCTGTGATTGCTGTATAGTTTGACTTTTCTGACGTCTTAAAGCAGTCTTTGATCAATGCTTGGCTTTGAACTTCTGCTGCTGCTTCACTTGTTTTCAGCTCAATGATTCAGTTTTACATCTTTGTGGGGAGTCGTTCACAGACTGTTTGCCAAGGTTGAGTTAATAGCTCTTTGCTAATCACCTTATTAGTCTTAAAGTGCTTCCTTATAATTCAGCTTCATTGTTTTATTTTCCTGCAGAGCTGCACTGTAGTATTTAAATTTTATACTTTTATAAATTCCTGATAAATTATTATTAATAAATAAATGCTCCATTTTATCCTGTTTCTAGCTTCTGAAGCCCATCCCTCAGAGGGAGCGTACTCAGTGGGAAGTAGGTGTCGGACACGCTGAGGATGCTTTCCTCATGACACGGCAGGAGCGGATCGACAACTACACCTTCATCTACGTCGATCCGGTCCCAGAAGAGGCCCCGCCTACCAAGAAGCCCAGCATCAAGGCTGAGAAACGGAGCCGGCGCTCCAGCGGCTCGGTCAGTAAAAAAGAGGAGGTGAGCGTAAAATCACCCAGCAGAGAGCAGCAACCACGGAGGCAGCTGCCACGGAGGCAGTGCAGCATTTCCAACACAGAGGACAGCACAAACTCACAGCCCGTAGTGGAAGAGAAGAACCACAGGGGAGAACAACAGAAGAGGGGTTCTCCGAAGCCAAACACCGGCTCTGACGCAAAACAGGACTCTCCACCGCCGCCGGTCAGGCCATGGAAAACGGCAGCTGCGAGGAAGCTGCTGCCTCTCTCAATCACCATGAAGAGGCTGAATGTGGAGATCACCAAGTGTGATTGGCCCCTCTTGCAGAAAAACATCACACCACCCCCAAAGAAAGAGGAAGAGAAGAAGGAGAAAGTGGAGAAAGATACCAGGCAGCCTGACCTGGGATACTGCTCACCTGATGTGGGTCTAACTGGGTGTTAACAGACGGACGGAGAAATGGTGCAAATATACTTTAAGTTCTGATCTGAATGTTGCTTTCAGCAGGACAGCAGAGTCAAACGTGAACCCAGTCCGGAGGAGGATGAGGAAGAGGGGGACGAAGGTGAGGAAGAGAGCGATGAGAGGAGAGGCTCCCCTGCAAGCAGGAGGAGCGAATCAGCAAATCAACAACCCTCTTCACCCGGATCACCCAGCAGCAGTCCTCAAGGTGAGTAAACAAAGCGCATCCATGCAGGATGTTGGGCTAAATATAGGAAGAAGTACCCTTAAAACAAATTCCTCTTTTATTAAAGCAGCCTACACAAAAAAAAAAACCTTCAATCTCTTGTAAGAATCAGAAGATCTGACTTTTGAGGTAATTTTCAATACCAAGTCAAGACCTTCTCTATGCCTTAGGTATAAGCATGATGTGACAGAGCGACCCGTTTTTCTTAGCCAACAGTAACTATGTTGCTGGAAGGCTAAAGTTAATTTTGTCCCCATGCACTGTATGTAGAATAGCACAGAAGGGGAAAAAATCTGTCTTTAAGAGATCTGCAGCGTGAAATGGCATTTTGGTGTCATAAAAATCTCTTTCAGCAAAAACCTGCAAAAAAAAAAAAAAAGGTCCTCCCAGAGCTGCCTCCAGCTCTTCACACATCATGTGAGCTTTAGAAGATCAAGCCAACGTCATGGAAACAAAGGAAAACCTGGAGTGGAGCCGTCAGTAGAAATAGGAGCAAATAAAACTCTTTGGAACGATTTTTCAGACTATAATGCTGCCATGAGGTTTATTTTGAGGGCTTTTTGCTCATTTTAGCCCAGATTGCCAAATTAAATTTGACTTTTTTTTTGTTTTTTCTGTGCGACATATTTACAGGTCTAATATTAGACCACATTTGAAAATAAAAATACTAACAATGAGGCATGTTAAATATTTATGTTTGCTCTCAGGCTCTCAGGAGAGGAAGCCTCAGCGGCGGTCAGTCCGTAGCAGGTCTGAGTCAGAGAGAGGCGCCGAACCTGTCCCCAAGAAGAAAACCAAAAAAGAGCAGGTATGAGTCTACCTCTATTAACCTGCTGTTCAGACATTTAAAAAGCAGCCAGCAAGCAGGGAAGACGTTGAAGATTTTGCTTCTCTCTTATTCAGTTCAGCACACCATGCTAGAAAAAAAAAACAAGACATGAGCCGATGATCCCACAGTGAACATTTCATTTTAAATGGCTACAGATGCATTTTTTTTACATAGAGAAAACATTAAATAAATGTAAGAGCTGTGAATTTAACTATGAAAACTCTTCTTCTCAGGCTGAGATGGCTCCGGAAACTACGCTAAAGACGGGCTCACAGAAAGGTATGAAAAATACACTTTAAAGAAAAATTCGTAACAACAAACTCCTTTTTATACATCTGAAATCCCTCCAACCCCTCTGAAGGAGCCAGTGAGATCTCTGATGCCTGCAAACCCCTGAAGAAGCGAAGCAGAGCCTCAACAGACGTCGAAATGGCTTCATCTCAGTACAGAGATACCTCTGATTCCGACTCCAGGGGTCTCAACGACCCACAGGTGGGCTTCAAAGGACACTCGCAGACAAACAGGAACACAGAGCTGAAAAGCAAAGTGACATAACAAAATAAATCCCTCAGACTGTTTTTTTTTTTTTTTTCTTAGCTTAAAACATAAAAGAAAAAGAAACACCACTTCACTCTCATCCTTATATTAGAGTTGAATGATTTATTTTGTTTCTATTTAGTGAATCTTATCTTCTGATGCTTTGTGAATAATTCCAGGGATTATTTGGGAAGAGCCTCGACAGTCCAGCTGCAGCAGATGCTGATGCTTCAGACACTCAGTCTGTGGACTCCGGTTTGTCCCGACAAGACAGTGGTGCGGGACAAAGAGACACGGTTTGCCAGGTATAATTGAACTCTGTTGGATTACTTCATACAGCGCCCAGCTAAAGCTATAACCTGTTTCTTCAACCTTAAAAAGCTTTCATGTATTTTACTGGGATTTTAGCTGAGTTCAGTTTAATCCACCTTCACTGTTCACATTATTGCTCTACGTTGTGTCGCTCTGTAAAATGTGAATACTTTAGCATGGCTGCACACGTTGAGTCATTTGATGATCTAACAAATGTCTGTGTTGTCTAGATCTGCGAGGTGTATGGGGAGGGCTTAGTGGTGTGTGAGGGTGACTGCAACAGACAGTTCCACCTGGAGTGTCTGGGCCTGTCGTCGCCTCCAGAGGGCCGATTCACTTGCAGTGAATGTAGAAATGGTGAGAGCAAAGAGACGGCCTCCTCTTACGTATCCAGAGTTGAGTATTTCTCTCTTGTGACACTTTTTATGTTTCCCTTTTTTTTTTATCTTATAGGCAATCATCCTTGTTTTAGCTGTAAATCAGTGGACCCAGAGGTGACTCGCTGCTCCGTGTCTGGATGCGGATGCTTCTACCACGAGGATTGTGTGCGTAAATTGCCAGGCACCACCAGCGGTTCTGGTGGAGGCTTCTGCTGCCCTCAGCACAGCTGCTCAACCTGCTGCCTGGAGCGGGACGTCCAGAGAGCCAGTAAAGGTAGAGCAGTTTATTTGACCGTTTTTAAATCAGCGGACTGTAACCCAGCTTTTCAAGGTGAAATCTGAACCTTTCCTACATTCATCTCTAGGAAACCAACTCAGTGTTGAGTTGGTTTGACATTATAAATACGGTGCCATATCATAAAACAAGATACAGTGTGTGTCTGAAGTAATTTTTGGAGCAGATACACATTGATAAATGACTCCATGGTTCCCTAATTGTTTTGTCGTGAGTATTTTGTGATACAGAACATCCAGTTCTCTGTTTGGTTGAAATAAGATGTACCTGGAGGACCACTGGGGACAAATACAACTAATGCAACGTTCCTGGAAATTGATGATGAGTCATCCTGCCTCAAATAAACCATGTGGAAAAGGGAAGAGATGGCCTGTGTCATTCAAAGGGACACAATGACCCCATTTTTTTCTCTGCATATAGTAAAGAAACTAAATGAGTTTATATTACTCTCGTTTACAAGGATCTTTATAAAAAAAAGGGACTGATAGATTATCATATATATCAAAATATATTAGAAACATGGTAGTAGCAGCGTCATTACCTCCATAGTTTGGTGGTTTAAATCATCTTTTCATTTAGTCATAATTATCTTCTAAAAAAGATTGAAATGATAATTAATAATTTTTCTTAATGGAAATAATCAAGGATTACTAACTTTCCTATTAGTATTAAAATGAAACAGAGCTGCATTTCTAAATGTGCTAATTTCTGCTGTTTGTGAATTAAATGTTTAAATGCCGGTAGCCAGATGAGATGGCTGCTGTTCAGTCTGACTGGAAAGGAGGAACGTTTAGTACAATCCTTCGAGCTGATTGGGTGACGTGCTGGCTAGCACCCGCCTGCCTTGATACGTTTTCAGCCAATCATAGCATCACAATAGGATTCGTCTGCAGCTTCCTGAGCGTTTTCACAACAAGTGGAGTAAGCTGATAAATCGAACTTTTTTCTAAACCCGTCTGAAGAAAAGCAGACATCTTTCCTATCTACAAATGCACAAAGTGCTTCTCTTTGCTTTTTTTTTTAAACAAGAAATTGTCACTATTTTGGCTAAAACTGAGTCAATTGCGCTATCAACAGGTGAGTCCTCCAGCGCAGACATGTTTGTAGTGCCCCAGCAAGGCCCTTCTGACTGTCGTCATTCCCACATGTCTTGTGTGAATTTTATTTTATTCATTAATCCATTATTAAATACTGGAATTTGAAAATGTATTTTCAAATCCTGTTTCTAAATGGAGTTTTAAAATCCAAAATTCCTAAATCTGATTATAAATACCTTTACTAATCAAACATTTAAAAAGGTTATTCCTTTTTCAATTTTCTTTTTCATCTTGTATTTTAAAATCCTTTTTGCAATTGAAACTTTGTTTTTGCTTTACCATTTACCTTTTCTGTGATCCTTCTGGTCTAAGAGTAAAATTAAATCACTGTTGCTGCTCAGATTCAACCAGCTCCCTCATTGGTCATCATGTTTTGGCAGTCTAACCAATGAAAGAGTTGGAAATGAAGATGGAAATGCGTTAAGGAATAACCTTTTTAAATATGTGATTAGTAAAGGTATTCATAATCAAAGGAATTTTGTTCTTTGAATTTTCATAGTATATAATAAATACAAGTAGAATTTAATGCAACTTACAATTCTTCTTAATAATTCAATTTAAAATGTGCAATTAGAAAATTCTTTGAGTTTGATTTCAAATTGCCTGATTTAAATGTAAATTTCAGCAACTCTAGTTTCTCAATATTTATCAAGAACAAAAGTAATAAATGCATTTGATGTTCTTTTACCTCTTTTAAAAGATAACTTTAACATTACATCCAAAAACTGATTAACCATTAGTATTATACATAACTGAAGAACATTTAATGATAGAAAAGCGTTGATTAAAGTGGGTTACCGGTAATTTTAAAAGATATTGTCATCATCATATTTAGTAGCCACCGTTCAGAACTCATTTAACAAAGGAGGAATATGTAGCATAGCCCTGTATGCTCACTGTAAACTACAACAGATAGCATTGTATTTATAGCATTATGAGTGTTTTTCATTTCCAGGATAGATGGAAGAAGAAACGGCCACTTTCTGCCATATCCACCAACCAATCAAGTTGCAGGGACATTCTTGTTTAGGATTAAAATGCATTGCCGTCCGGCTCGACACCCACAAAATAACTTCCCTTTACCCGACAGCAAGCAGAAGGCTGCAGTTTCTCAAGATAATAGAAAACCTCTATAAGATCCAACTGGCAAACAACTTATTTATTTTTTAATTTCTCTGGTTCTTATGTGACCTCCCCACTTCCTTATGCCACCCTGGGAAAGAGCACATATCAAAAAGGAGGTTTTAATTTAAGTGAAAATTGGTGATCTCATCCTGGGAAAACATAACTCAGCTGTGGTTAATGCCTTGGTAAAAAGGGAAATAAGTGGGAAGTCTAAATAGTTTACGAGCAGAAAAATACATCACTACCTGAATGCTCCATTGCTACCAATGAGTGCAATATAAACATACTTTCCCTTTTTTTTTTTTTTTTTTCTTCAAAGTAACTGGGGTTAATGTGCTGTGAGTAATGTCTGAGTTGAAAAATCATCCGAAGCACAATAAAGGGCTGCTTTTTTTCTGTCATTTTAATTACATCTTAAGCCCCTAAATGAATATGACCTCCCTATTTTTTATCTAAAACTAAATGATCAGTGAGAGAAGGCCTACCGCGTCTTATGTGACCTATGTTTACAAAGGTTTGTGTCGTTTCCCAGGCCGTCTGATTCGTTGCATCCGCTGCCCGTTGGCCTATCACCCCAGCGACGGCTGCCTGGCTGCTGGCAGCGTCATCCTCACCCATCACATCATGATCTGCAGCAACCACGGCAGCGCCAAGAAGAACGGCCTCCTCTCCTCCCCCGTCAACGTGGGCTGGTGCTTTCTGTGTGCCAGAGGTAAGCTTCCACCACTTAACACTCCAGCTTCACTTCATCACAGCTTAGTCTCTGGCTTTACCCCTGAGTCAGCTCATTCATCTTTTTTTCTTTTTCTTTTCGTATTTTAGAAAACTTTTTAATGCAGTCGTTTTTGCAAGAGTGTCTGCTGGGTGGGAAAGTCAGATTTTGCATTGCCTTTTAATGTGTAGATGTTTGAATTTATGTTTCATGTTTAGGACTTTGCTGTGACATTTTGCTTTTGTTTTCCATTGTAAAGTTATTAACCCCAGGCTTTTTACACTGCACTCTACTTGGACGAACACAGATAAGGCAGAAAACAGGTTTTCTAATCCGGAGATCAGGCCCGACGCTTAAACGCAGAGTCGAGTGCATTGTTTGGCCAATTTTACGTCGCAACAGACTTTTGGTTGAATCTGTTACGTGTGTTTGAGGCTGTGCGTGTGTTTCTCTCTGTGTGAAATTTGGTTAATTTTTCGAGTTTGACTGCGGCTCACCCCTCGTCTCTTCCTGTGTGTCTTGTGTAGGGCTGTTAGTGCAAGACCTTACTGACACCATATTAAGTTCATATGCCTATAAGTCCCACTACCTTCTGACTGAGTCAAATCGTGCTGAGTTGAAATTACCTATGATTCCCTCTCCTTCGTCAGCTACCAAAAAGAATGTTGGGAAAGGTAACTGAACAGTTTTTCTTTCTCCTTTGATCCCCCCCCCTCCCCTCCCCTCGTCCTCCCCTGGTCTGTGTCTGTGTCGTGCCTGCTCCCGCTCCGATCCAGTTTCCCCCTTTTTGCACACGTCTTTTATTTCAAAGCCTTCAGGTGAAGAGTTAATTAACTTGATTACACATGCAGTTCATTTCAATGCAGAGTGACACAAATGAACCGCGTCCCAGTTCCAGATAACACTGGGCCTCATGCAAGAATTATCATCCAGACTGTTGGTTTTTAGTGGACAGTCGCTAAAGCTGCGCCTGGAGTTCTGTCTGAATCTGAGAGTTAATTAAAGCATATAAGGTTATAGGTTACCTTGCAAAAAGGAGAAATGCACAGGACCTGTTGTAAAAGGAGCAGAAACGATACAAATCTACCCAGCCTTGGTGCTAGAAGATGCTTATTAAAAAGCCTTTAATGTGCATTTTACATCTAAGATGAAAAAATGTTTTCCTCTGTTAATATCCTCTATCCAGAATTTCTGAAGGGGAAAAGTTTTAGTTAAACCTGGTTTATTTTAATAAAACATCTTCTTTAAGGAACCTTTGGCTATCCGATTATTAATTGAATAATTGAAACATTAATTGAAAATAATCAACAGATATACCCTTGGTTCTCATATCATAACCTACTCTGAACATAAGGCCCCATCTTCCCACAGTGTTTCAGCACATCCGTCTTTCCACATTTTGTCTTGGTAGCACCAAAGGTGACAGGCAACACAATATTGACAGATTATATGTTGTTTTTAATGATAATATAAAAAGTGTTTCTGCTCATGTAGGTCAGTAATTTGTAGAACCACCCTCCTACATCTGGAGATTTATGCTCATTCTTCTTTTTGAAAGTCATCCCCACAGTATAATACTTCCACCACTGTCACTTGTGTGGATGGAGAATGTTAACTGCTATTTTCCTTCTATGCTAAATGGTTTTAGTCTCATCTGGCTCAGGCACCATCCTTCACATGTTTAATCTTTCAGGAACTTTCTCTCAACTCAGTATTTTGGAGTGCATGGATATGTATGCTCCACTGAGCATACAGTGGATCCCTGCAGCTCCTCTAGAGTTACCACAGGCCTCTTGGCTGTTTCTCTTTTTAATAGTCTCCTTCCTTAGCAGCTGTGCCATCATTTTTCCATTTTTGGAACTTGAACGGTAGGATGTTCTCTACCACTTTGTCCCTGAGCTGCCTGTTGCCTGCGGTTCTCTGATGCTCTTTACTGTAGGAAACCCCTGAAGCCTGTAAACATGATTAAAATACTCAGTCAGATACTAGATGACTTTTCAGGGCCAATTCCTTCATTTATTGTTATTTAGGGCTTTTGGAGTAAATAAGGCTGAATTGTAACGCACGTCAAATGCAGATTTTAAACAGGGTCTCAATTTATTTCACTATATAGTGATGCACCGCTTCATATTGATCTATTACATTTCATTTAATTTAATAAATATTTAAAAGTCTTTAGTTCAAACTTGAAAAAAAGAAAAAAATTAAATAAATTAAGTACTTGGATTCAGAACTCAAAGTTAGATATCTATGTATGCTTAAGTTAGAATTAATGTGGCTCCTGTGGTTGACCAATGACTGGTCCAGATTGTTTCTCGTTATGAAGACTTTTGGCCTTGAAGAAAAATATAATATTTACTAATATTTGCGATATTGTTCTTGCATGGGGTCCACTCCAGAATCTGGGTGCTTACAGCACCTAGAAATAAGCAAAAAGAAAACTAAATATGATGGAGTTTTGCTGCTGCAGAAACAACCAGCCGTCAAACTTCAAGTAGCTCTCTATGATTCCCCTCTGCAAGATGTTCTGGGTTAATTAATTCTGGTTGTTTTTTTGATTATTTTTTCTGCCCTATGTGGATCACTGCTGGAGGTGCACTGCTTCTCTGCTTCATCACTCCGGGCTTATTTTTTCACTTTTGTTTTATTTGAAAGGGTCTTGTTCAGCTTCACCTCTTTCATGCTCACTGCAGCTATGTGTGTTAGTTTGTTTTTGTTTTTTTTACAACTCGTCTTGGATGGAATGGAACCTCAGTCAGTCATTTGTGTGCATTTAAGACAAGATGATTCCAACTGTTTTTAAACTGGTAATAAAAGAGAAATCAGAAACAGGAATATTGTAAACATTGGATTCCATACAAGCCGATCTCTGCAGGAGGTGCTGTGCGATGGGACAAGTTCGCTTCTCTAGCAGGACTGCATGCCTGCTTATTGCAAATAATGTTTGTTGGAGTATAACCCTGAATAATTCCTAGCTTGCTGGCTGACTTTGTTTTCCGGTGCTGCCGCATGTAATTCCCATAGATTGGTCTTGGTACATTGCTCTGAATCTGATTGTAAGACATGTAACAGCTCCAATAGAGGCTGTTACCTAGAAGAGTTTCTGAGTATTTTCTTTAATTTATTTATATGCAATGACAGTCACAGCAGCATTTAATCAAGTTAATATATCCTGTTTAGATTTGCTTACTGAAAAATAATTACCAAATTTTAATTTCAAAAGTATATATTTGCCTACATTTAAAGAAAATAAGGATTTGAAATGATATTTTCTGGCTTGTCTGCAAATGAGATTCAGAGTTTGTCCAGGTGTTTAATGTGCATCCACCTAATCGTGCACTCCTCCTCTCTTTGCATACCCACTCTCCCAATTCGCATGCACACACAAACACACACCTACATATACACACAAACACATGTTTACATCCATTCAAATGTAGGAGGCAAGTTGCTGTGCTGCGATTCATGCCCAGCTTCCTTCCACCCGGAGTGTCTGGAGATGGAGATGCCAGAAGGTGCTTGGTCCTGCAGTGATTGCAGGGCAGGGAAGAAGCCTCACTACAAACAAATTGTCTGGGTCAAACTGGGAAACTACAGGTAGGCAGAGCATGCTGATCACAGACTGCTGACGGTTAGGCTTTTTTTTTTTTTTAAGTGTGTTATATGGAATTTAAAGTTCTTGTCTATATTTTGTCTTTATAAATGGTAAAAAGGCCACTTCTTAAAAACACCATCATAAAATATGTGCCAAACTTCTCTTATTTTTTAAGTTTTTCTCTCAAATAGTCAGGCAGTTTTTTTAAGGGTTTTCATCAATAGATCTCCAGGCTTTTTGTGGTTTATCCTGCTTTTCTTTCACTTCTATAGATAAAAGAAAGAAAAGCTTCCCCTCCTCCAACTTAACTCACACATTGCCTGTGTTTTTTGTTCCTGTCACATTTTTTTCCACTTCAAATATCACACTAAGATCATCAATGACCATAAACCAAAATGTAAGCCACCCATACACTACAAAAACTAATAATTTGTCATCTTAAAGTTCATGATTTTTAAGTCCTACCTTTTTTTTTCTGTTCTGGCGATCAGGAAAAAAAAAAAAAAAAAGCAATAATGGCAAAAATAGGCTAATTTGATCCATAACACTCTACTGAAAAGTAATATCAGGTTTATTTCCCCAAAAATTATCTTGAGTTTCGTAATAGTCCACCAAAGGTGTTTTTTTTTCTGCCATAAAAAAGTACACATTTTAGATCATCTACGCTGTGTGGAAGTATTCACCTACCTATTTACTCCATAGATTGAGTGTAACTTCCATTTTGACTATCCATAAAGGCTCTCCCATGAATGCATCATGTATTCTTTGTTTAACTGGTGCTTCACAATACAGGGAACAATATACCTTTGATTGACATGATGGCCAAATAGATAAGCTTTGCAATGATGCATCAGAAGTGCAGGGGCAGGCTGAAAAAATAGGGATTATTTTTCTGTTTAAAGAGTGAGAGGAGAGGAGAAGCGGTTACTCAAGCTTGAAATTTAGAATATTTGCTTGAATGGAAATTTGTGTATATCTAAACATCGAATTTTTTTTTATTATTATTGTCAAATTAGTCATAAAATTCAAATAATCCAGTTTGCATTTAGTCCAAATTTAGCACAATTGTGCCGAATGGACATTTTACATACAAAAAAGGTCATAGTTTCACAATGCTGATGACTAGAGATCTGAAATTCTACAGTTTTTGTCCACAACATAAAGAACAAGTAAGTGGGAGAGCTCAACTATAAATTATGCAAAAGCAATAACATAAAAAGCATTTTTTTATTCTTTTATCTTTATTATATATATAAAGGGTTTTTTGGACATGTTTAAAGTCACACAGCTCTAGTTGTGTAAAACCTGTGGAGTCTGTACACGTATTCCCAGAAGCTTGAAAGTCTTAGCTTTCAAATGAGATATATCACAAACATTTGGCAGTTATGATGTGATTTTACTGGACAATGAAAATTTTGGTATGCAATACCTTTGTGCACAAGCTATAAAAAGGTGGGTGTTAAGGAATTAAAGGTTTTGCTTTGTTTATGGATAAACTGAGTTAATCCCAAAAGCAGCTTTTTAAGTACTCAAGCTTTTTTTTGTTTTTGTTTTTTAAGGGAAATGGTCTTTTAAAAAACCCAAACGCCTGGCAAAAACCCCCAACAACAAATGTCTGGTTGTACCATCCCTGGGCTGAACCAACTGCCATCAAGTGTGCAAGTCTTTGATAATTCTTCCTGTTAAAAGGGAGTTTTTCCTCTCCACTGTCGCTACAAGCATGCTTAGTGTGGGGGATTGTATTTGAGTCAATGAGTC